ATTTCACCAAAGTTAAAAAGGAGGCACTGGCAAGAGAACTGTGTGACCGACACCCCTGTCCTTGCTGCTCCCACCTTCTTCACATCCAACTGGCAGCAGAATCTATGAGCAGCAAGTGTGGTAGGAAATAAACAGCAAAGAAGTTTCATGAAATACTATTTAAATATTTCCTTTATTATATTTTGGGGGTGCACTATTAAAGTGACTGCTTCACAAAATCATGGATAAGGGATTAAAAAGGAGTTTATTGTTCACAATGAATAAAAGTCAACACTGCTACAGCGCTTCAAAAAATGGCCCATTATCCAAAAAAAGCATCAGGTTGAAAATACATCTTCCTCCCATTAAGCCCCACACCAGTGATTCACAAGTGAATCATTTCAAGCATTATCCATCACGTTGATTTAATGTTGTTCATTTGAAGTTCATGACTTTGGGTTTGTATTTTTCGGTTTATTTTAGTTCAGAAGCTGAGGGCGCCTGTGAACTTTTGGTGATCTATGGTCATTTAACGGTTTTGTTTTCTTCCTTTTCATCCCTGCCTTGGAAGGACTCGATAGAATCTAGGAAGGAAGTGCCCCCCCCCACCCCCCGAGCACAAATATTTCCAAATATTTCTGTTCTCTTTCCCGTAGTAGATGAAGAATGAATCCTTCCAGCCCTCAGGGCAGGGGAACCAGTTTTTCAAAGGCTAATGAGGTAGCGTCTATTTTTATTGGCCCATCAGAGTCCCCTGGGAAAGAAAGGAGAGCGGGGAGCAAGTGGGATGGACCTCAAGTGAGGCGGGGTTGGGACCTCCCCAGCTTCCATGGGAGTCTCTGGTCAGACTCTGCGGTCTACACACAGGAGAGTCAAGTCCTCGCACAGCCAGCAGCAGGGACAAGCCCTGCGACGTCACAAGACTGGATCCTGGCCCCTGGGACCAGGTGTGGACACAGCCTGCAAGGCTCCCAGGCCCTTGAGAGCCACAGGGCACACTGGCCCCCCAAGGCAGGGAAGGCGGGGACGCAGCCTCAGCTGGAGGCCCCCAACCTGGGATGACCATTGGAGATGACCCCATCACCCATCAACGCACAGGAACCCCCCTCCAGAGGGAGGCCTGCCCAACTGCTCTGGCACCCCTAGGAGGTGAGGGTCCGAGGGGCTGCAGGAATCTGTTGCCAAGATGACAGGGACAGTGCAGCCAGCAGCAGCAAGATCCCTCTCCCTGCCAGCCTACATGGCTGGACCTGTCAGAATGCCAACTACACAAGGAATCTGGAATGTGATTTTCAGAGTCCCAGCCCCAGATTGGTAAGGGGTGGGCTTGGGGTCAAGAGATGCTGCCCATGTCCTTGATGCCACCTTTAAGGCCAGAGAGGAGTTAATATCCCGTGTTTCATTTGGGATTGTTGGCTGCAGGCACAGACACCACTCTGGCCCACTGAAGCGGGAAAGGAATTTACCAAAGGCTACTGGGCATCTAATAACTCGAGCTTGAAAATCAAGATGTGAAACTGGGTCAGAACCACAGGCCCAGAACCAGGCCAAAAAGGACACACCGCTGTCATCCGATGCTGCGGCCTGGTGTGGCAGCTTCTACTGTTGAGCGGGAAGGCTTCACCCTCCACCCCACTCCCTGCCCCGCTGACTTTGGACTTGGCCACGTGACTGGCACTGACCCGTGGAGTAGGTGACCACGTGCCTGTGCATGTGCCCAGCCGAGTGCACCTGCCCCTTCTGGCGCTGCTGCCATCTTGCACAGACGAACACATCCCAGGAGCTGATGCCCCTTCCGCCCTAGGCTGGGAGCGAGACCTGGCACACAGCACGTGCAGAGCAGACACCAGCCAGGCCACAGGCCACCAACGACCCATCCCAGAGCTGGTGGAGCCCCGGGGTTTGGGGGGTGTCTGTCACCACGGTGGAAGCTGACGGGTCCACATGAAACAGTCAAGGCATCTTCCCTGCTTCTTCACAAAAACCTTCCAGCTCCAGATACAACCTCCTGTGCGGGGCCGTCGCCCTGGCCACGCTCAGCTCTCACACCCGCAGCGCCCGAAGCGAGACGAAGAAAGTGCTCACAAGGTGTCTCCATTTTCTGTGGACGTTCCAGGCTCCCCGCCCTCTGGGCCCCGACCAGGCGCAGGCAGGTGCCCCAGAGAGTAGAGGCCGAGGAGCCAGGTCCGCCCAGCCCCTCGGAAGCTACCTTCGCTGGGAAAGGGCCTTTGCCGGTGTGACTGGTCAGGATCCAGCGCACGGGCGGGGAGCGGGCCCAACGACCAGGGCCCTGGGAGAGGAGGAAGCCGAGACACCCCGAGACGTGGGGAGGACGCCGTGGGCACGGCAGCGAGGCAGGGACTGGAGCTGTTGTTAGGGGGACAGGATGTCCTGAGCCAATTCCCCGCAGGCCTTGTGGACCCCACCCCCACCCCAGACCAAACACTGGGAGAGACGAATCTCGTCACCACCAAAGGGAAGGTGGCTGGGACCTGAGGGTGGGGTTCAGCAGCCAGGTGGGTATAAAACCAGACACGTGGGCCTTGGGGTCTCTCGCTCTCTCGCTCGCCTCCTGGCTTCCCGGCTCCTGGCTCGCGGCCAGCTCTCAGGGTGCCATTTGGGATTCCAGATCCGCGGATCGGGTAGGACGCATTTAAACCTTTGTCTCCCACTTTTCTCCCTGAGCTGTGCATTTCCTCCTTTCCCTTCCCTTGTGAATAAACCTTTTATGAACCTTTCGCGTGTGCCTGCAGTGGAGCATTGATAAGTCCTTTTGAGCGCGCGGGTGAGGCCCCACAGCCAGGCACCCCGTTTTGTATCGGGGCTGCCCTGTAACACTGTGACAACGGCTGCTGGAGCAGGAGGGTGGCACGCGTTGACCCCCGTTAAGTCTTCAGAGAGCGCAGCCCAGGGCCCTCTTCCTTCCACATTTTGAGCCTCCAGAACCGAGAGAATAAATGTTGGTTGTTGGTGATGCATTGTTACAGCCCCGCTGGAGACTTCGGCGGGCAAATTCTGGCCTATGACGGAGATATGGAGGTCACCCCCACCCGGCAAAAAAGGTAAGTCTTCTTTTTCTAATACTCTAAAAAGCAGTTATTGGGGGCCTCCCTGGTGGTGCAAGGGGTTAAAGCACCACACTATAAAGCAATCCACAGCTCAGCAGCACAAGTTTGATCCCCAGCCGGCTAGGGAGCAACCCCCGTGGCGCAGCAGACCTCTCCTGTCTCCCCACTGCTCCCCTCAGCAGTGTATTTCAGTCAATCCACCTGTTCTGCTCCCCACTCTGTCTCTGGTGAATACACACACACACACACACACACATACACACACCCACATCTCTGGCCTGTGCCCCAGCTCTTATATGCATAAATAAATCTTAAAAACAAAAAAGAAGTAAAATGCAGTTATCGGGGGCTCATTCTTGACTGTCCCTTCTTTAAAAGCAGTTTGTACATGATCTTAAGGAAATGTGCCAAGGGCAGCTGTGCAGCAGGATATGTCGATTGCTAGACGCCATCCGGTCCAAAGGTGACTGTCTGGAAAGGGCTGCTCAAGATCAGCGGCTGAAAAACAGAGGTCTCCTCAACTGTCTGGGTGCAGGGGCTGCTGGGGGACAAGTGTCCGGGACTCTCATCTGGTGTCTGAGCAAGACCTCAGCTAATTAGACTCCAAGTCACACCACATGTCTATCAAGAAGGGTGCACAAGGCTCTGCCAAGTCCACCTGGGAACAAGGTGGGGAATATAAATGTGTTTCTTGTGTGTCTTTTAAAGATTGGAGACTAGGGCCTCCCTGGTGGCGCAAGGGGTTAAGACACAACCTATGAGTCTGTCCACAGCCACTGCAGCACGAGTTCGATCCCCAGCCAGGGAACAACCCACATGGCACAGCAGACCTCTCCTGTCTTGCCCGCTGCTCCCCTCAGCAGTGTATTTCAGTAGATAATGCCTGTTCTGTTCCCCACTCTGTCTCTGGTGAATCATGTCACCCCCTGCATCTCTGGGCTCTACCCCAGCTCTTGTATGCATAAATAAATAAATCTTTAAAAATAAATGAATAAATATTAAAAAAAAAAAAAAAGATTGGAGGGCCTCCCCTGGTGGCGCAGTGGTTGAGCACTGGGCTGCGAAGCTGCCCGCAGCCTCTACAGCGCCGGTTCGATCCCCGGCTGCTGGAGAGGGTCCCACATGGCACCAGACCTCTCCTGCCGTGCCCGCTGCTCCCCTCAGCAGTGTACTTCGTCGGTCTGCCTGTTCTGTTCCCGGCTCTGGCTCTGGTGAATTCATTCACCCTCCCGCACTTCTGACTGTACCCAGTGCTTGTATAAATAAATAAAAATAAATAAATCTTTAAAAAAAAGAAAGATTGGAGACGGAATGAGGCCATGACTTGGAGAAAGGGGGGAGATCGTTTTAAATGAAAGATTTCAGTCACCTGTGGTCCCTGTTCAGGTCCCGATCCCCATAAACCAACTGTCAGGTCAGCAGAGGTCACTGAGGAGCTCTGGCTCGGAACTGGGTGTCAGTGACGCCAAGTCATTAGGACAGTCTCATTAGGAGTGATGTGGGCAGTGTAAGGACTATTTGTTTTTTTTAAGATTTATTTTTTGTGTAGAGGAACTGGGGTGTAGGCCAGCAGAACAGGCAGTTCTACTGAAATACACTGCTAAGGGGAGCAAAGGGCGAGACAGGCGAGGTCTGCTGCGCCATATTTGGGGTAGCTCCCTGGCCAGGGCTCAAACTCAGGCCAGCACAGTGATAATGCTGAGACTTAACCCCTAGGCCACCAGGGAGGCCACAGAAAAAGGACTAGTATATATTTAAGTATAAAAGGACAAAATGCCATGGTGTTTGGGATAAGCTTTTCTTTTTCTCTTGTGGGACCCTCGCCGGCGGCCGGGGAACGAGCCAGCGCTGCAGAGGCTGCGGGCAGCCTCGCAGCCCAGCGCTCAACCGCTGCGCCACCCGGGAGGCCCGGTTTGAGATAAGCTTTAAAAACATTATAATGATAGACTGAAATGTGGAGCCCTGCTTGTAGGTAAGAGGTGTGATTTTCAGTTGTCCTTAGCATGAGACTATTTTGAAGTGAAGCATATAATATTCTAACAAACGGCAGAAGCAACGAAGCTATTTATAAAAATATTTAAAACTGGGGGAGAGACATTTGGTTAAACACGCTATTAAAACACATGTTTATCTCTATTGCCACCTGAAACTCATCCAAAATGACAGTCAAGGACTACAGCGCATGTTTAAAGCCTACCAGCTTGAGGAGAGGGCGCCGTGACTGCTGGGGAGAGGCGTCTTCGTCCCTGCTGACAGCATTACAAAATCCCGCAGGCTGGGGCGTCCTGAACAATAGGACTGTTTCTCGTCGTCTTGGAGGCTGCAAGTCTGAGATCCAGGAGGCCGGCCTGGCGGTGAGGGCTGTCTTCTGGGTGTCTGTAGTGCAAGCGCAGGGCAGGTTCACTATTAATTTGGGCACATGGATAAAGGGAATCCGGAAGCCCACGGTGGAGTTTTCAGGCTTCAATGCTCTCAGGAAACCAGGTACTAAGGCGCACCAGGCAAGAGGCAGGCACTGGCCGGGCAGGGCCAAGGAGGCTGGAAGCAGGCAGGCAACCAAGCTCCCCAGCCCCCCACGAACCTTTCCTCTTTCTCTGGGCTCTCTCTGGTGTTCTCTCGTGGTCTCGCCTCGTAGGCGTAGCCGTCCTCTGAGTGACGCTGCCCTTATAGCCCTGGCCTCTAGGCTCAGGTGTGCACACTTACACATGCCCGTACCCGCGCTCCAGGTGCCCACAATCAGGCACGTGTGCCCCGCGCCCGGGCTCCCAAGCACCTTCTGCGTTAACACGATCAAGGCTGCAGGTGATAGCCAGAGGCTAGTGGCGCAAAAAGCCTGATTCATTCATTTACCTTACAGTGGCAGACTTCTTGTGTCCTCACAGGGTGCAAGGGCTGCCAGGGAGCTCCTGGAACCTCTGAGAAGGGTGCTAATCTCATTATTGGGGCCCCACCCTCCAAGAGCTAATCACTTCCCACAGACCCCATGTAGGGGCAGGAAGGTGCAGAGCAGGTCCTGTACGACCCGAGCAGATGGGGAAAGGAGGGTACTGGAGCCCTCGGTGGCTTTTTATAAGCTTTTATTCAGCTTTTACCAGCTTTTACAAGGCAGGCAGGGGTGCCAGGGGGCCGGGAGGCTGGCAGGCCTTGGAGCCCCTGGCGAATCTTCACTCTTTCTGGGCTCTGCGGCCTTCTCTCGCGGCCTCTGCTGCTCTGCTGGTTCTCTTCTGGTCTGTTCTGCTCCTCTGGTGTCCCCTGATGCTGTTCTATTTGAGCCCAGTCTCTCAGCCCAGGTGAATCCCACCTACGTGTGCCCTCACCCCACTCCAGGTGCCCGCCATCAGGCATGCATTCAGGACTGCAGGGTTCCCTCATCTATCCTGATGGCGGGAAGGCGGAAAAGCCTGACGTTTTTTCCTTACCCTACACCTGCACATTACTAATAAGAATAAGAGAATTCGGTTGACCTCTTGGAATGTATCTCTTAGTTTATTTAATGTAAGAATTTGTAAACAATACACAAATTGGAAGTATTCTTTGGAGAAAAACAGAAAGTTCACACAAAAAGATAAAGTTGTCCATGGTTCTGTTGCCCAAAGGTAACTGCTGTAACATTTTGGTGTATCTTCTTCAGACTCCTTTCTTTACAAAGATACTTATGAGGATGTGTGTAGGGTAAAGAAAATGTCAGGCTTCTCTGCCCTTCCGCCATCAGGATAGATGGTGGATCCTTGTCCTGAATGCATGCCTGATGGCGGGCACCTGGAGTAGGGTGTGGGCCTAGGTAGATGGGATTCAGCTGAGCTAAGACTGTGCTTTTTAAGGGCGGCGTCACGGGGGGACACCGGCAGCACCAGTAGCAGCAGCCGCAGTAGCAGCAGTAGAAGCCGAAGCAGAAGCCGAGAAGCAGCAGAACGAACGCCAGAGAGTCCAGATAGAGTGAAGACTTGCTGGGGGCTGGGAGGCCTGCCAGCCTCCCAGCCCCCCAGCCAGCACCCCTGCCTGCCATATGCCTGGTGAACCCCAAACAAAAGACCTGCAAAACCACTGAGGACTCTGACTCCTCTTTGCCCAGTCTGCATGGGATCAGAAAACCTGCACTGAGCCCAGTCCGGCCCTCTACAATGTGTCAACGCAGGAACCAGACTGTTCCGTCAATGCCATTCTCTGCTTCTGCCCCTTTACGGTGGGTGGTAAACTTATGTGTGTACCAAATACTGCCCGCCAGGTTCCATGGCAAACTTCACCTGTGATGGCCAAAATGCAACCAGCTTTGACCGACAAAAAAAGCAATTGCCTGTGGTTCTACCCAATACTATTTCTTGTTTGTTTTTTGTTTTATCATTTGGGATCTGCAAACGCGTTCTACCTGCAGATTCCCACAGGAGCGGCCACACCGTCCTCCCTGCCGAGAGTGTCAAGCCTGGCTTCCGTGATGGGGAGTAATAAAGTATCGTGACAGTACCATGGTTCCGGGAAACTATTTGGCGTAGGGTCTTAATCATGTGACAAGCAAAGCTGTTCATATATGTAGTGAACTTGTATTTCAACGGAGGGTGCACAGTATTTTAATTTTAAAACGAGTGAAAGTCATTCCAATACAGTTTGGTTATAGTGGTGATGGAATTTATAGCCCTTTGGGTATGCCACAATTTGCTCAACCTATTGCCTATTATTGGGCATTTATGTAGTTTCCATTTTTATTTACAATGGAAAATTCTTCTAGCTCATTCTTTGTGGACATCCTCAGTTTCTTAGGACATGTCTACAAATGGAATACATTCAATAAAAGGAATGCACAGTTTAAAGCTTGTGTTGCCTGCTGAGGGTATGGTTTCCTAGAAACCAGAGCTGGCTGGTACAAGGGGAGTCTTCTCCCCGCTCCCGGGAGGATGAGGGTTTCTGAGTCCCTGCAGGTTACTGCTTCTCCTTAAAGGGCACTAAAAGGGAGGCAGGTGAGTTCAGAAGGGAACCAAAAACTGAGAAGCAGCTGGGTATTTACTGCTTAGAGCAGAGAGAGATTGAGGAGGTAATTATGTCTGTTTCTAAAGAGCTGAGCATATGCTGGCTGTAAAACCTAAGAGGGCCCCTAGCAGCCTTTAAAAAGGACAGAGAACAATCCTGTGTTTATGACTCTGAAACTTGAAAGAGTTAAATTAGTGGCCAGGAATGTTATGAGGATTTTTTTCCCTCTAAACCTGGATCTAATAGAAGAATTGTATCACCTAAAGGTAAAACACCCAGTACATGTACAAAGGTAGAGACTGGCTCTCTGTGCATATAAAAATAACAAAGATAACAGGAAGAGCTGTACTGGCCCCGTGGTTCTCACCTCCTGGAATTCACGGCCAAGTGTAGGAGTGGCCCTGAGTGTGGGCTGGCTTTAGTGACTTGCTTCTTGTGAGCAGAGGTGACAGAAGTATTGGGATGTCATTTTTGAGGTAAGATTATAAAAAGGCTCCGGCTTCTGTCTTGGGCATCCTCTCGTTCTCTCGGATAGCTTCCATCACAGGTGGGAACCAGGTGGGTCTGGAGGCAGCCCTGGGAGAGACCCCCCCAGGGAGTTTGGAAGACTGTCTCCCACAGCCCTGGCCCACACATCTGTCTGAGAGAGGTTCAGAACTGCCTGTTCGGTCCCTCCCAGACTGTTGATCCATAGAAACTAAAATTAGAATTGTTCCCTTTCAGCCACTCAGTTTTGGGGGGGTAACAAGAGAACAAATGGTGTTTATTGAGCACTTACTTTGTCGCTGGTACAGTTCTCAGCACTTGACATGATTCATTTGGTCATCATCATGGCCCTGTGAATGTGTGTCATTATTTTCTTCCTTTTCAGTGGAGGAAACTGAAACCTGGAAGGACCGTCCATTCGCCTGAAGTCAGGTTTAGGAAACAGTGAAGCTGGAAAAGGAGTGGGGGTGTTCTGACTGACCCCACAGCCCCACTCACATAAATAAAGCTCAAAACAATAGCTGCTCATATTTCACTAGACAGAATTGCATTACTTGCCCTTATCGAAATTTGGCAGAGGGCAGGTACTGAATCATCTTAAACGAATCAACATTTCTCACCCCCACTTCCTGTGAGGACCTGGAAGAGGCTGGGCTTCCCCTAACAGTCGCAGTTCTGTAAAGTGGGGGAGCAAATCAGCCGTTAGCTACACAGGAGGAAGAGGGCTAGGGGCTGCTGGTGGCAGCTCACAGTGCTGGCCGTTCCGTAGCCTAAGCAGGTTGTATTATTTGGTTTTGGCGGCAGACTGGGGAGTGGTGATGGGGAGGGTTTCAGGCTGTAAGGTCAGAAATTGGCTCACCAACAATCATATTCACGGGCTCACACCCACTCTTGAAGTAGTGTGAGTTTGGTTCAGAGCCAAGCCACTCTTGGAGGCCATGTGGAACCAGACAGATCTTGGTAGCTTCTAGCTGCGTGGCCCTGGGCAAGCCACTTGTCTATCGGAAGGTCTGCTTCCTTATTTGAAATCAGGGAGAGTCACAGTCACAAGGGCCTTGGTCAGACAAATACGGTAAACCACGAAAAGCATTTAGCACCATGTTAGAATACAGGAAAAATTTAAATGCTAGGATACATTTAAAAATTATATGCACCGGGGAGACCCAATAAATAAATCTTTAAAAAAAAAAAAAAGAAAAAAAGATGACTTGATGACCGGAATATATGTAAAATGACAATTATTAGCCACGTCGCTAACTTAAAGTATGTTTGTAAATGAAGTTATTCAAATAAAGATTATTAGATTTTTTTCACTCACACAGTTTTAGCACTAAAAGAAACCAAAGAGGGCCTCCCCGGTGGCGCAGCGGTTGAGCGCTGGGTTGCGAAGCTGCCCGCAGCCTCTGCAGCGCCGGTTCGATCCCTGGCAGCTCCCCGGCCACAGGAGGAGGGTCCCGCATGGCGCGCAGACCTCTCCTGCCTCCCGCTGCTCCCCTCAGCAGTGTCCTTCGGTCCTTCTGTCTGCTCTGCTCCCCGCTCTGGTGAATCCTCTCACCCTCCCCCGCTTCTGACTATACCCAGGGCTTGTATGTATAAATAAATAAATAAATCTTTAAAAAATAATAAAATTGAATAGTTTCTATTAAAAAAAAAAAAGAAACCAAAGACTTTTTAAGTAAGTAAACTGAAGTCCAAGCGGAATGAAGTGCCTTTACAGAGCAAGCTGGGGGCAAGCTCAGATTTGGGTTCAAGTTTGGGCTATGTTTTCCTGAGCAAGCTTTTCACCTTCTCTGAACCCCTCTTACCTCATCTGCAAAATTCTATTATTCTAGAAAAAGGGAAAAAAATTATATTATTCTAGACGCAGACTTCTGACTCCCTGGGCGGTAGCTAAGAGCCTTTACACTGAATTATTTAGTATATTGGCCCAGTTTGTGTGGTAATCCCGAGGTACCAACACCTCTAAGAAGCAGTTAGGCTAGCTGGTAGCAAAGGCAGGGACACCCCTGAGAGCTAGAGTACTTTTGACCTGAATGTCATTCTCTTTAAATGAGGGCATTTCAGAAGTTGATCTCTAAAACCATCTAGCTTCCTATTTTATGATACACTGGCAGGGAGTGAAGTGGAATCACCAAGGATCATCTCACTTGGACAGATTGGAATCAGTCTATTTGACAAAGCCAAGCCTCTGACAAAGCTAATTAGAAGGTTCTAGAAGTGTCATGGACCTTAAGAGGCAGCCACTGACCCAGACTGAGTAAATCCTTAAATATTTTTCCACATAAAGTTTTGAGGAATTTTCCAGTCTTTGAAGGGGTTAGATGTGATGCCACTTACGTAAGAAATAATCCCTTTGCCTGCTTTGGCTTGGCAGGGTGACGGCCACCCCGCCAGGTCAAAGGCAAGGCCTTACCGCCACCTAGTGGTGTTTAGGTGAATAACCAGTGTTTTGAAAGGCACGTCCTGCTGCTTTATTTTACTTGTTGGCATCTCAGGTCATTTGTTATTGTGTGGATAAGTATTCAGGTACACACATATGTATTTTATTTATTTATTTTAAGATTTATTTATTTATGCATACAAGAACTGGGGTACAGGCCAGAGGTGGGGGGGGTGAGAGGATTCACCAGAGAGAGTGGGGAACAGCACAGGCAGATTGACTGAAATACACTGCTGAGGGGAGCAGCAGGCCAGTCAGGAGAGGTCTGCTGTGTCACGCGGGTAGCTCCCTGGCCAGGGCTCGAACTCGTGCTGCAATGGCTGCGAACAATTTCATAGGTTGCGTCTTAACCCCTTGCGCCACCAGGGAGGTCCACACATGTATTTTAAAAAAACATTTTACAAATAGTTTTAAACTCACAAGTAACCGTATACTCACCTAGTTTCCCTTATTGTTAACACCTTACATTAACATTTGTTACCTCCAGAAAGCTATTACTACCATTAACTAATTCTAAATTTTGATTTCACTTTGCCATTCATTTCATCTGCTCCACAATCCCTTCCAGAATTATCCTAATAATCCCACCATTCCAAGTTAGCATATTAAAGTGTTCTCTGTCCATGTTTTTGAAACAACAGTTTTTAAAGAATCTGCTATGTTTCATGAATATAACTATTTTTCAGTTTGGAGTGTGTATCAGATGCTATGTCAGAACATCTTAGCAAAAGCTCTCTGGAGTCAGATTATCTGCTCGTGTTCCTGGCACTGACTTTCATGTTCCTGAGAGAATTTAAACAGGCAGCATAGCAAGAGAAAGGACTTGAAATATATATTTTTTAAAGATTTATTTATTTATGCATACAAGAGCTGGGGTACAGGCCAGAGGTGTCTGGGGCGGGGGGTGAGCGGATTCACCAGAGACAGTGGGGAACAGAATAGGCGGATTGACTGAAATATACTGCTGAGGGGAGCAGCGGGTGAGTCAGGAGAGGTCTGCTGCACCATCTGGGTAGCTCCCTGTCTGGGGATCGAACTCATGCTGAAGTGGCTGCGGATAGCTTCATAGGTTGCATCTTAACCCCCTGCGCCACCAGGGAGGCCCGGACTTGAAGTATTTTGAGTTTAAATTCTGATCCTGCCACTTATTCGCTGTGAAATCCTGAGTGCGTGAATTTCTCTGTGCTTCATTTGTTTGTAAAAGGGGGTAAGAAAAGGTGCCCAGTGCCTAGTCCGTGGTAAGAGTTCAATGTCAGCTTTAAGATGAACTCTGGAACCCTCCAAGGCAGGGCCTACAATCTAAATTCCATTACACAGACTAAAGCCCTCAGATCAGTACATTCAGGAGAGTGCAACATTTTTTAATGTGCTTGTACACCAATGTCTGCTTATCAGCAAAATGTAGCTAATACCACTTGTCACTGCTGAGGCGGCAAATGACCATACAAATGTAAACAAGTTACCTTTCAATTCATCTAGAATCCATTATGTTTTTCTACCTCACCTTTATTGAGACATAATTGGTAAGTAAAAATATTTATTTGAATATTGACGGTTTGATACAGGCTTAGCTTTCCAGAGTGGGAGAACCATGACATTAATTGTAACATTATCTACATTATTGAATCTAAGCCAACATCCTAAAATTGAGTCCTTTTATTAAAAACTTGATGCAACCTTTCAGTTATTTGCAAATTTTCACAACTTTTGTTCCTTGTTTTTGGAACCAGATCACTGATGCACACATCCCCAGCTGCTGCTACATTTTACATGTCCTCCTGCTCCCCACTTTTGATAGTTGCTGCAGTTGCTGCAACTGCCTCGTGCTCCCCACTGCCTAGTTGCTGCAGTGATTCAGAGCACAGTCCACACTAGTGCGCACTAGATGTACGTTCATGAAGTGATAATCTCAGGCCCGCTTCGGGGGAAGGAGGAAGTGAGGCCTTGGGTACAGGCACTCTCGTACCCCTTCTTTTGGCAGTAGAATATTGGCCTTGCAGTTAAGACTAAGGATAAAATTCTGGCCCTGCTGCTTACTGGTTGTTTAACCTTGAGAAAGTTCTTAACCTGTGCCCATGCCCCTGAGTGTGAAACTGAGTCTCCCTATAGCGCAGGACTTCTGTTTACATGAGCAAGTATATGGGAATCTTTTAGCTGGGCCTGCCAGTCAGGCAGTGTTCATTTCTTTCCACCCTCCAAATTCAATGCACTTCAGCTTTTTCTGGTACTGATTTGTATACTGTCTTCCTTTATTCCATTGTGCTTCAAATACAATGTCCCTGCAGCAACCTCACTTAGAAAAATACCTCTTCCCCGTGAGCACCATGAGGAAAGAATCCAAGGGGCTAAGATTGCGTATATTCGCTGGTTTTCAAGTTCCTGCTTTGGAAACCCTTTGTTCAAAAGGAATCGCCCCTGGACTCCTGACATAAACAAAACAGATAAAAAGTCACTTTATTAGCATTCCTTTATTTTGTAAGTGCACACTTCTGTTTTTATAACATGTTACAGTGATACACAGAGGTAATTGTTTGATGACACACATCACAAATCTGAAGTTAGAGGTGGTGGCTGCAAACTAACTTCAGCATTTAATTTTGCCTTTTCATGCCACAAAATAGGCAAAACTCAAAACTTAGCATCTTAGCCAACACTCACAATCTTCATGATAAATATAAGGCGATACACACCCTAAAACCTACCTGTGAGAAAACAGCATCACATCAGACATGCACACTTGCTCCTGATACTAGCTGACACAGGGTGGGGGCAGCACATGCACGCAGGCCTTGGGATCCTTCAGCACATGCCTGTAGTGACAGGCTTTATGTACAGTTTTATGCAATAAAAAAGTTCACACAGGGTGAATTTAAATATGTACATACCAGTGAAGAACGCCACCCTTCCTAGTTAACAACGCATTTAGGAGACAATCAATAGGCACAGAAATGACAGAGAATTTATTCTGAGACTGGGGCTGGTTAATGTCTCGCTGGAGTATGGACCCTGCACCCTCATGCTCCTCTCACCATCAGATACCCCTTCCTGGTCTCCCGAAGAGCCCCTCTAATCCTGCCCAGACGAGGGCCTCCTCCTCTCCTCAGCTGCCTCTTGCTCCTTCACCAGTGCCAGCAACTGCAGGGAGCCAGGGGCTGGGCCCGCCTGGGGCAGCTTAAGTTTTCTGCATAGCGCTCGATGGACGGATCCGGCAAGGACTTGGTCCAGGCGAGCTTGAGTCACAACTTCTCAGTTGCTCCTCTCTCTACCAGTTTCTGTAACAAAGGCTCCAGCCTTAGTACATAAGCAGACAATTTCTCATCCTTCTGGTAAGTGGTCAGATATTCGACCTGCAATTCCCTGGGGTTATCAATAACCCCAAACACCTGCTCAAGGCCTTGCAGACATTCAGGACTGTAACGGGAGGATCGTTTTAGCAAACGCCCGCGTTTCTCTGCGTCTGACACCTGCTGCATCTCCATCCTTTGAGCTGTACGAAACAGCCAGGATTCAAATTCCTCCTCTTCTGGCTCTGGAGGACCGTTGCTGGAGAATACTCTCCACTTTCTGTATTTCAGGAATTGCAGGGCAGGCTGAAGAGCCTCATCTAATGCCGGTGCCAACACAGGGGCCCGTATTTCTGGGGTCATGCCCCGGTTTACGTCAAAAGGGTCAAAATGGTCGTTTCCATCCCCCAGAGCGTTCATCAACCCACCAGGCGCCACGCCCTCTCCTCTAAAAACTCATTTAATCGGCTTAAAAATTCATTATCTGGGTTAGGGGGCTTAAAATCCACTCTCCAGAGCCCCCTTTCCGGGTCTTTCTCTCGGGCCCGGAGCAGGACTAGCCTCCTCAGTAAGCCCCCCTCAGGCTACATTCCTGTCCTCCTCCCTCCGAAACGTCCCCCGAGCGGTCTGAACGGGCCGCGGGGCGCTAGCGCAGGCCGCAGAGCCGCCGCGGTCTCCGCCACACCGTCGCCAGCGCCGTCCGCGGGTTCGCATCCCTGCACCGGCCTTCCAAGGGCCTCAGCGCCAGGGCGCCAAAACCCGGCCCCGGGCACCGCTGCCGCGGCGGGTAGGCGCCGTCGAGGGCCGGAGTCCCGCGGCCCGCGAGGACGGGGCAGGCGGGCCCGGGGGCGACGCCGGCGCGGGCTCCCGGCCGGGCCCCGCGGCAAGAGGCCGTCGCCCCTCCTCGCCCGGGGCGCCCCGCAGCGGGCCGGGCCCGCGACCCTCGCCGCCCGCGCTTCGGCCCTTCGCAGGCGGTGGCGGCACCAGCGTCGGCGCCCCACGCGCCCGGACGGCCTCCCCACGGCACGGACGCCCGGACGGCCACGGGGACGCGGCCGCCAGCTCCGGAAGGCGGGGGGCCGCCGGGCTGGGCAGGGCCCGCCGAGTCGCGCCCGCAGCGAGCGCGCGGCGCGCGGCGCCTGACGTCACGGGGGCGGGCCCCCGGGCGGGGCGCGCGCCCTTCCGGCCCGGGCCGGAAGCCCCGGCCGCGGCCGCATCCGGGACGGCGGGCGGGCGGGCCGGCCGGGACAGGAAGGTGAGGTCCGGGCCCTGCCCCGCGCTGCAGGCTCGGCCGGCGGCCCTGCCCGGCCCCGGGCTCGCGGCGCTGCGCGGCGGACAGGCGCGGGCCCGGCGCCGCAGGGGGCGGCCGGCCGCGGGAGGCCGGGCGGCGGGGAGCCCTCGGCCGGGCCCCCCCGACGGGGCGGCGCCGCGTGACGCGCGGCCACACGCGCCCCTCCGCGACGGCGCGCGCCCGGCCGGCGGCCCCGAGTCCCCCCGCGCCGGCCGGCCGGCCATGCCCAAGCCGCCCGACTACTCGGACCTGGGCGACCCCTCAGCGCTCGCCGCGGCGCCAGGAAGACTCTCGGGACCGCTGTAAGTGCGCGGGCCGCCGTCTCCCGGGCGCGGACGTTGGCGCGGCGCGGGGCCGGGCGCTCGGCCCGGCGGTGCCGAACGGTAGACGGGACATGCGCCACGGGAAGCGAGCTGAACGCCGGTGTCTTAGTGGCAGCGGTGCTGGACCTATGTAAGCTCCATAAAGCAATTTATGTATTTGGTGGAATTCCCATAAAAAGCAGACTCTCTATATCCCGGAACTTCACTTCCTCCTAACTATGCCAGACGTAAAGCCACCTGTAAGTCGCTTCCATTTCTGAATGCACATAGTCGTGAACGATCGCGTTGGAGGGCTATGTTAGAGCTCGTGGAAATAAAGCGAGTACATTTGGGATAGTTGCCATGACAGCGCACTGGACCCTAACTGTGTTGTTAATTTTTTTCATTTGAAGGCACAGAGCATGGAGAATGATGAATTTCCGTCAGCGGATGGGATGGATTGGCGTGGGGCTGTATCTCTTAGCAAGCGCAGCGGCGTTTTACTATGTTTTTGAAATCAATGAGACTTACAACAGGCTGGCCTTGGAACACATTCAGCAGCACCCAGAGGAGCCCATCGAAGGAACCACATGGACACACTCCCTGAAAGCGCGGTTACTCTCCTTGCCGTTTTGGTTCTGGACAGTTATTTTCCTGATACCTTACTTACAGATGTTCTTGTTCCTTTATTCTTGTACCAGAGCTGACCCCAAAACGGTGGGCTACTGTATTATCCCCATATGCCTGGCAGTCATCTGCAACCGCCACCAGGCACTGGTCAAGGCGTCTAATCAGATCAGCAGACTACAACTGATTGACACGTAAAACCAGCCACCGTTTTCCCTCATGATTACAGAACTGCCGGTCCTATGTGGAGCCTAATCACAAGACGGCAGCTTCTTCACAGATCTCAGGAAGTTGTGCTGGGTCAGAAGGTTTTTTAAAAATGTGACCAGGGGGCTATCTTTAACAGAATAATAATGATTTTTAGGTAAAGCCTGAGATGCAGTGCTACAAAATCATGTCGATGGCTTCAGATTTTGGAAGTAAAATCGTGTCTGTTATTTGCATTCTTTAGAAACTTGAATAAGTATCTGAATTCCTATTTTTATCCTACTGTGCAACATAGTGATTCAGAAATTTTTCCTTTGGGGAAAACATGAATATGAACATTTCCATTGTGTTTAATGTAAAAAGGTCCAAACATGGTCATAAAATTTAAATTTTATACAATCGCCTGGCTTGCTTTAAAATTCTTTAAAACACCAGTTCCTTCTATTGTAGTTACGCCCACTGTGCTTGTTACCAGCTCGTGAGGGACTGACAGAAAATCACTGAGGTGCTGGGGGTCTTGACAAGCAGGACTTGTCCTTTTGGTAATGCTGCTGGCAGGATTAACTAGCATCACTTAAGCTCCTAGTTCAAAAAGCACTTGGGAAGAGACTAGATGTTTGGAAGCGGAGACATCTGGCTCACGGAAGACGGAAATGAAGAGCGACGCTCTCTGAAAAGCAGCGCGTGTGCGTCCTGTTCTTTCTGGTCCAAGGTCCAGTCTTCAGAGACAGGTTCACTGCGTGAAGCTGTGAGCTTCTGCTTCCTCCTTGGCACTTGTACTCACCTACCTCATGTCTGGCACCAATATAAATCACTAAAAAGTGGGGAAAGATTTTAGGATTTTGTTTTTCTGGGTGAGATCAAGACATTTTTATAGTCATGTCATTTAAACCAGGGAAATGCTTTGTACCGGCTGATTTTGGTAACTTTTTGGTGTTTATTCTTGGACCCGGTTCTAAGAGCTTTCTATAAATTAACTTATCTGATCTTCCCAACAACCCTATGAGATAGCCATTATTTGGATTGTACAGATAAGAAGACAAGTAACTTGCCAGAGGTCACACAGCTGGAAGTGGCAGAGCTGGAGTTCTAGCCAGCTGACACCTTCGTCCCTGACCAAGGAGATGCAGTGCTTTTCACAAATGACACGTTTCAGCACAGGGCACTGTCTGGCTACCCCGCCAAAGAAAGTAACAGGCAGCATGATGGATAAAGGGTTCTCTCAAGTTGCACGACCTACTGAGAAATCTCAAAGTTTTCAAGCAACCTTAACCTTTAAGTCTGATCTGAGCAGAAAGGAAGTTGAGCATTTCACAGCAAGCTTTTACTTTCTTGAAAGATAAAGCAGGTACCTTGTAACTCAAACAGCAAGATGAGAGCCTTTCCCACTTTACCTCCAAAGGTCTAGTTGCTGAAATCATTTATTTTTGCTTCAAAACACTGATTTCAAAGTAACAGTTTGAAATACCTGTTTTTCTGGGAAGGTTACATAACCAAATCACTTTTGAGTACTTACTGACTGAATGCAGGCAAGGTTTTCAGAGGGAGTGACATTCATTCTTCCAAGAGATGTGAGGCATTTTACAGAAGAGGAAAATGAGGAAACCGTAATTCATAACATGCCCATGGAAGAGCCAAGATTTGAACCTAGGATTTCTGACTTCAGATCTCCAGCTCTTTATTCAATTGTACTCACTTAAAAAAGAAAAAAGGGTAATTTGAGGAAAGTAACTGAGCAGTTTCCTGTTCTTATTAATCTGAGGCAGTGACAGTTTGGAAATGATTTAATTAATTGATTTTTTTCAGATACTTGATAAGATGCAGGGTTTGCGAGTTTGCCACTTGAATTCCTTTTTTTGAAGTACTCTTTCTCATGCTTCAAATTCTAGTATTTTCGTATTTGGTCATCTCATATTCCCTTAATAGTGGAAACATTAAGGGAGTAATGCAGTGTTTCCAAATCTAATTATGATCTTTCAGATTTAGGGGTAAACAGGTTGATTATTGAGGAATTAACCAAGTTGTGGATTATTTTGTTAATTTATGGCTATTTAATGGTTCAAAGCACTCTTGGTCGGATGAAGAGGGAATGATGAAATCAGTCTCCTAGTTCTATCAGACTGAGGAGGCGGCTGAAATTGGTAGATAGGAAACGTGCAGATCATTTATTCCATATTTACGTTATAATACAAAAAGCTAATTACCAATATGAATGGCAAATCCAGAAAGCCTTCAGAGTTATAGGAAAGGGGCAAGCATCCTCTGCTCCATAATTGTCCATGATACTTGCTTCCAGAGAGGAGAGAGAGGACACCCCACAGCGGTGTACTGTGCCATTTTATTTGCAGCTGTTCCTACAAGGAATACCTGTTGAGTGGTTTGCATGGAAGCGTGCCAGGGAGTTATTTTTCCAAGAGTGGTCGGGTAGGCAAGAGATACCTGAATTAGAGGAACAAACATCTAATTCATGGAGCTTAAGGCAACATGTAAATTTTCTGGTTTTAAATGTTACCAGTTTTAAAGTAAAAAAGTGATTCCCTAAGTTTAGAAATTTGATGGTTTCAAAACTTTCATCATTAACAAAGAGCTTTTCTTTGGGGAAGTGGAATCATCCGTTAAAGTGCTCCTGAGAATAACTGCACTACACCCGCAAGATAATCAAACCAGCATGTTCGTTCATGGTAGCGTTCAAGTGTTTAAGATTATCCAGTGTTGATTTCCTTCTTGATGGATTTAACATTCTCAATCTGCAAAACGCTGGCAGAGAAGCTTACCACAATACCACATGACTCATTTTTGCATCAAATATGTGCCATCACTTTATAAATTCTCCACATTTATAAAGCTCTACATAATTCTGGGCCATAATCAGGAACCATTGTGCATAGTATTTTTGTTTTGGGCAGTGAATGGGTCTTAGACTTTCCTTTATCTTAGAATCACCCAAGGAAATAAAAAACTAAGCAAATCTCCACATAAATATTGCCAGGGCCCCTTCTCAATCAATCCTATCAATCTCTGGGATCAGGGCCCAGGCAATCAAGTTTTAAGAGCTCCTGAAATGACTTAGTAGGGCTGAGAAGCACTGGGTCATGGATTCTTACGCACATTTACTAAAGACTGCACTGTTAGTCATGAGAGCTGTTTGTCTTTCAAAGAGCTTCAACAAATATTTGCAGTAAATTCACCCCAGCCCTTAAATTGCAATTCTAAATTTAAAGAGGTTTTTATTTTTTTCAAGGTGTAAATTGTTGACTTACTGCTGCAGGGGGCCTTACCAAGCTGGACCCTATGAACTGATACTATGCATATCATGTAGGCACTGAGAGGTCATGACTGTGGAAAAGGTCACTATAACACTGGATGCCATAATGCAGAGGCGGGCCAGGAATGCGGTACACATCATCAGGCCTTTGCTGGGGGTGAAGCTCTCCAGCTCTCCAAGGGTCACAGAACCCAGCCCTAGTACAGGAGGAAACAAAAATGGGTCAGCCTGATGGTGACACCTATGGCCTTGAGCTGTTTCTGAGCTGCCCTAGAATGGATCTGTGCAGGCAGCACTGGGAGCCCCGGGAGGCTGCTGCCAGCTGGAGCCCAAGGTTGGGAATGAAATCACTGTATTTTCTGATTCCTCTCCCCCCCGGTTTATTGTGAATCCACTTCTGTCAGGCTTTGGCCTTCTCCCATTTTACCCTAACTGCTCTCTTGTCAAGAGATAACTGGATATTTGCATGTGACTAAGTACAATGGTCAAGTTCCCAGTCCTTAAATTACTGATTAGCAGATTTTTTTTTTTTTTAATTAAACTTTTTGTTCTTGAGATACTTTCTTTGGGATTTGTACTGTCAAACAGAACTTTGGCGATGGTGGAATGTCCCCTACCTGTACCGTCCATATCCGGAGCCACTAGCTGTATGAAACTGAGATATGGCTAGTGTAAGTGACCAACTGAATTTTAAGTTCTAATTAAATAGCAACATGTGATTAGTAGCTACTACCATGTACTATCAGCTCAGTCCTAGACACTTCCCTGGTTTGCTTTCTTCCTCTCAGCTTTTCCTGTCTCCTTTCCCTGAGTGCTCCCACTCGGATCACTGAATGTCGGCACGCCCAACTCTCTTTTCCATACTTATTCCCTTGGTCATCTCATTCAGGCTCAAGGTGAAATGCCCAAATTTATATCACTATGTTGCGGCAGTCCCTCCTGAGCTCCAGATGTGGATATCCAACTTCCTACTTGATATTTACCAGGATGTCATCCCAGACACCTGGAATTTAACCTGTCCAAAACCAAACTGATCTCTGCAGCCACCAAAATCAGCTCAAATCCTCTACAAATCACAATGAAAGAAGTAACCAGGAATCCTTTTAAAATGCTATTTTTCTCAAAAATCCTCATGTAATTTCTTCATATTAGAATAAATGTTAAAATCTTTAACATGGTATACATGTAATTCTAAGTGGTCCTTGTCCACTACTTTATTTTCCACCACTCTCTGCACCCCTGGTCTTCTTGCTGATTCTAGAATGTGCCAGAAAAGCCCGTTTCAGGATCTCCGCACTCTGATGCTATACCTTCTGCCTGATGCTTGGCCCTGGCCACACCATCACTTTCTGCAGACATCTGTTCAGTGGTCAGCACAGTGAGGCTGCCTCTGACCACCCTATTTAAAGGAAGCATCTGTCTTCCTTGTAATTCTTCACAGTGCTCACCATCACATGGCATGTATTTTGTCAGTATCTAAATTCCAGGAGGGCAGGGATTTTGTCTGCTTGTTAACTGCTATATACTCTATGTACATAGTATATAACAGATGTTTAATTATTGCATGAATGATTCTTATTGCCACTGAGCAACTCTCACTAGATTGCAAAACAATCTAGTTCACTCTCCAGAAAGTAAGAAGACTAGGGCCTCCCTGGTGGCGCAGCGGTTGAACGCTGGGTTGCAAGGCTACCCGCAGCTTCTGCAGCGCTGGTTGGATCCCCGGCTGCTCCCGGGCCACCGGAGGAGGGTCCCACATGGCACGCAGACCTCTCCTGCCGCCCACTGCTCCCCTCAGCAGTGTACTTCAGTCCTTCTGCCTGCTCTGCTCCCCACTCTGGCGAATTCTCTCACCTTCCCGCACTTCTGACTGTACCCAGTGCTTGCATAAATAAATAAAAATCTTAAAAAAAAAAAAAAAAAAAGAATGAAGACTAAAGTTGACATTTACCACTAAGTGTGGAGCATAATCTGTTCACATGTTCTAGATGTTTGGTTATTAAGTTCTTCCAGGTGTCAGCATGTAGTGATATATTCTTTCAAGGCCAACACTTAAAATGAATCTAAAAATTTATTTTTGCCAAAAGTTCTTGTGATGTGGCTGTCTTGGCAATTTCCTTATCAATGCAGAGAAAAATATGTACTATGTTCACAAAGGAGATTTTAAGTGGTGATTAGAGCCTTGAGAAATTCTCGTTTGTCAGGAAGATAATGGTTTCCTAAATCACTTCACATTATACACCAAGTATCATAATGACCTCTTTCAGCTACAACACACCTTGGCTTTCAAAGCAATACCTTGACCCCATAAACCATTCATTTGAACTAATAATGTGTTTCTAGAAGTTACTTCTATCTATACCCAGCAGGATTTCTTTCATTGGTCCCAGGTGGTGGAGTAAATTTCTATTTAAGCTGCAACCCAATGATCTTGTTGGTACCCCAATGGGAGCTGCTACTTTTTAAAAGATTTAAATAGAAGCTTGTTGTTTCGCAAACACCATTTCCTGGGTCATGTCTTTAAATAAAGCAATTCTGATCCCAAAGGTCACCTGAGAACTGGAATCATTACACCAACACTGTGAAATTCATTCTATACTTTAAGAAGGCATGGGCTAGAGGGCCATTTTCTTAAGGGGAAGGCTAAGCACATCAGTTCTAGATATACCCTTCTCTTTCAATGGCACCCCACCTCGTATCACACTCAGCTCTCCTAACCTTTCAGAAGGCAAATTTAACTCCCTTCTTCTATCAAAGTAGTAACCAAATGGGAAATGTGGAGTTTTTGCTGGTTTTTATCTGGATTGGTTAATGCTTTGCCCTGAATTGCTTACATGACAATATTTTAGACTGTTAATAAGGCTGATCTGCCCTTACTAAATTTAAAGCATGGCTTTTTTAAAATCAAAAACTTCTGGAAAGTCTTAGAGTGACTTTTTCTGTAGTTCTGCATCCTCTACTATCTGCCTCACACAGCCAACGTTCTCCAGCAGTGGCATTCTACACACTTCGCATCCTGCTGGTGAGATGGATCATTACACAGTTATACTGTGGTCTTTTTAATGTCTGCCCAAAGTTATTGTGCTAATGTCCTGTTTTTATTTAGTTAACTAGGGTCTTCTTTTAAGTTGTTTGCATTCTTTGTTGTTACTAAGAACAATGCTGCAATGAATAGCTTTCTAAGCAGTTCTGTGCACACGTGCTGTTTTCTGTAGGATAAATTTCTATAGAACATGTACATTTCACATTTCGACAGAATTCTCTACTTTCAAAGAGTTTTATCAAATATACACTCTCACCTTCAATATATTAGACCTTTTAGCCTTTCCACCTTGTTACTGCAGCAAAACTTTTGCTCTTTCAGTCTGAAAAGTAAAAAATGCCACTGCAGGGCCTCCCTGGTGGCACAGCAGGTTGAGCACAGTGCTGTGCAGCTGTCCGCAGCCTCTGCAGTGCGGGTTTGATTCCCGGCTGGCCAGGGAGATTCCCATGTGGCCCAGCAGACCTCTCCTGTCTCACCCACTGCTCCCCTCAGCAGTGTATTTTGGTCAGTCTGCCTGTTCTGCTCCCCACTCTGTCTTTGGTGAAATCTCTCACCCTCCTGCGCCTCTGGCCTGTACCCTAGGTTCTTGTATAAATAAATCAATCTTAAAAAAAGAGTGTCTCCCACGAGGAGCTTTAAAAAAAAATGCCATTGCATTATTTTAAATTTTCATCCTTTGAAGGGGCCCAGATTTTCATTTAAAAGCTGTGTTTTCCGTTCTTACAATCTTGCTCTTTTGCCTTTTCCATTGTGTTCTCACTGCACATGAGATCTATAAAAGGAATGAGTTCTTAGTCATTATGCTGAAAGCACTAAATACTTTTCCCTTGTATCTTTTTAATCTTACTGACAGCGTTCAGAAATTTTATTATGTAATCACATTTATTCATGTGTATGGTTTCTGAATTTTTTGAAAAAATCCTGCTTAGAGGGCCTCCCTGGTGGCGCAGTGGGTTAAGCGTAGTGCTGTGACGCTGTCCTCAGCCTCTGCAGTGCCGGTTTGATTGCCGGCCGGCCAGGGAGCAACCCATATGGTGCGGCAGACCTCTCCTGCCTCGCCCGCTGCTCCCCTCAGCAGTATATTTCAGTCAGTCTGCCTGTTCTGCTCCCCAGTCCGTCTCTAGTGAAATCTCACCCTCCCGTGCATCTGGCCTGTACCCCAGCTCTTGTATAAAAATAAATAAATCCTAAAAAAAAAAAAATCCTGCTTAGAAACCTTTTTCACTCTGGATAAAGTGATAAAGATTCAATTTTCTTTTAGTACTTGAAATCTATGATGTTTGAAGTAGTGAGAATGGAATCCAACGTCATCACAAAAAACAGTTTGTTTCTTATTTGTTAAAACTGCTAAGTGTTATTTTACAAATGTTCTCCAATTTCTTTAGGAATTTTATATTCTACTCTTACTCTTTATTTAAATACCCAAGAAATACTTATCACAAAATGATTTTAATTTCCCAAAACATGTTAATTTGTAACTATCATTAGCTGCATTTAAGGTAATGCCATTTTGAATTTTGAGGTGCTCAACTACCAACAACAACTAATTTGAAGCAGGAATTATTATGAACATGACATTACAATGCAGAGTCTGGCCATTTAGTTTAAAAGTCTAGGTTTCCAGGATGTCTCATGTATGAATCTGTGACAATACACACATATTCTATGCTCGTACAAGTCCAACAATTCCACTGAGAAATGTTATTTTTAATAGGCTAAAGCTAAAAGTACTACTACATGATAAACTTAGGGTCACACACATCTCCAACTAATTTCTTAATTTGGAAGAAAACAAACTATTTCTTTTAGAGGTATACAAATATTTGGAAGTTGGGCCTCCCTGCTGGCGCAAGGGGTTAAATCTCAGCACTATGAAGCTATCCCCAGCCAGGGAACTAACCCACAGGGCGCAGCAGACCTCTCCTGATTTGCCCACTACTCCCTCAAGTGTATTTCAGTCAGTCTGCCTGTTCTGCTCCCCACTGTCTCTGGTGAATCCTCTCAACTGCCCCCCCCCACCTCTGGCCTGCACCTCAGCTCTTGTATGCATAAATAAATCTTTAAAAAAAATTTGGGGGGCCTCCCCTGGTGGTGCAGGAGGTTGAGTGCTGTGCTGTGAAGCTGTCCCGCAGCCTCTGCAGCGCCAGTTCGATCCCAGCTGGCCGGTGAGCTTCCCACATGGCGCGGCAGACCTCTCCTGTCTCGCCCGCTGCTCCCCTCAGCAGTGTATTTCAGTCAGTCTGCCTGTTCTGCTCCCCACTCTGTCTCTGGTGAATACTCTCACCCTCCTGCACATCTGGCCTGTACCCTGGTTCTTGCATAAATAGATAAATAAATAAATCTTTAAAAAAAATTTTTGGAAGTTACAAAATTTCTGAGTAGACAACCTAATTCTTATAATAACGTACACTTCATAGTAGGAGGGAGAAGAACAGGGCACTAAGAGGCACAGAAAAACACAGCAGGAGGACCTAACATTGTCTTGCAAGCCAGGAAAGATCTCCTGGAGAAAACATTTAAATTGAAACCTAAAGGAGAGCTAACAGGCAAAGGCAGTCACTTGGCTCAAGATTTGCAAGTTGCGGAAGTATAAATCTTCCCTACGCTAGGGACTAGAGGCTGATTTCCTCCCATACTTTCCCTCCCTGTTTTTTTCCAAAGTAAATTTTCTTTTCAGTCAAATTTTAAATGTTCAAACTTTCTAATTTATAGGAAAGGAACCACATCTATTATAGAAGAAAGTTCTTATTCCTGGTCACATAAGCCTATTTAAGTATTTAAGGTGACAGAAAAGCACATTTGTAATAAGTATCTATCTTGCATATATCCACATATTTCACATAAAAAATTATCTAAGATCTTGTGCTAAGCTTATTTTTAGATAGGATTGAGGGGCTGGCTTTCTTGGGCTAAAGCTGGGAGTTTTTTCCACAGAATAACTATGTTTTGCTTGCTTGTGGCTAGTGTTTCCACTAGGCAGCAGATTAGAACTAAGCAAGGCCTTCCTTCTATACTGGTCCTTCAAACGGATCTTTCTGGTTACACATCGGCTCACTTATGAAAACAGTACTAGAATTAGATTAAGTACTAAAAGACCCATCAAACTTAAGAGCCCAGACCTTAAAATACCTGACCATAAGCACAAATATCCTCAAATGTCTTTATAAACACTTTCACTCAACAATGTTCAGGAACAAAGGCTAACTATTTATTTAGAAGTAGTAACTTCTTTAATGCTACACAGGTACTTTTTTAAGGACTGGATTGAAAATTATAAATCAAATACTGAGTTCAAGTACCAATATTAAAGACACTATCACAAATTAAGATGATTTCTGACCACTTATAAGACTTTGTAGTTGGTGCTGCTTAGATTACGTAACAGTACTCAGTGGAAGGCTGATATTCCAAATAAAACAATACTTTAAAGATATGAAAGGGTACATAAATTCAGCTTTCTCAATAGCCTACAGTTTATACAACTTTGTAAGCTAGAGCCTTTAGACTATGTAACTGGAAAACACATTATGGGTAATACACTATGATTATGTATACAACCCAATCTGCCAATGGTTAGCTCTGAAACTCAGGGCAAACACCTATCTAAGAATCCATTAAACTCTGATATAAACCATATAATTTGTAAGCTTACTTCCAATTCTTAAGAATTCTATGACTGTATTTCATTAGACGCATGTTACTTGATTTCCTAAATGAATTAGGAAAGATGCATAGTAAATACAATGCCTTAAAAACAAACAGACAAAAATGCCTTAGTCCCACTGACAAGCAGGAAAGAATTATTCATATCTATAGAGATATTTTAGGAATGTATATATTTTAAAAGTCCTTTGTTAAGCAAAATCAAAACAAGGCCACAGGATGAAAGAATTATCTAAAAGCTATTCAATATGAACTTACTTAAGGACTTATATTTTTATACACACACACAAATATTAAGACATACCCCATGGGGCTCTTTTAAGGTACAAGGTAAATATACCTTCATGAAGAGGGGTCATCTCTGTACAGCAGGTGCCAGTACAGATGCAAGGTTCCTTGGTTCTCAAGGGCTCTCTTCGCAGTGTTTCTGTTACTGTTTTCCTTCTACTTATACAGAGCTGCCATTCTTAAATTTAATACCCAATTTTCACCATTTGCTCATGTCAGTTCTTTGACACGTTCTTGCCCATGCAAAACTAAAAGATGCAGACATCACAATTCAATGGTTATTTTAAAGTCAAAACCAAAAACTCACGTGCTAACTTAGAGGATTTTATACATCATTAATTGTTATATTTTCATGGTTTCAAAAGTATTTCTCACTCAAGAAAACAGATTCATTTCTAAACATTTATTTATCTTTCTTTGCTGGAAACAGAACAAATAGTATTTTCCTTGACAAAACTGTCCAAGGGGAACAAAGCAAATGTTTTTCCAAATAACAGTGTGAGTCTTCCTAAATGTCAGTGCGATAATGAAGACAGAGCAGCAATTTTTTAAATATCCTAAAAGCTAGTATTAAGATGGTGGTTTTGGCCGTTTTGCAGATGGTCCATCTGAATTAGTTCTGCTATCAATGTTATTTTCATCTTCTCCATCATCTTCATCATCACCTTTTAAAATAAATATTTGTGGTATGACAACATGTTCAGTGGTTGAAAGAAATATAAACAGCTAGCTACGCACGACTCATTAAGAGACCATTTCACTTTAAGGGCTAGTAAAACCATGCATCTATCAGATCTGAAAGATGTATAAAAAATTTTAGGAATTTTAGTTTAAAATTTTTCTATCACTTTTTTGAAAAAGATATAATTCATACACCACAATTCACTCTTTTAGAGAGTAGTTTATTGACTTTCAGTATATCTACTAGGTTGTGCAACCATTGCCACTAATCGAGAACACAGTTTTATCATCCCAAAAAGAAATCCTATGCCCATTAGTAATTACTGCCCATCCGTCTCAGTCCTTGTAACCACTAACTTATTTTCTATTTCTATAGATTTGTCTATCTGGACGTACCCTAAAGATGGAATCATAAAATATGTGGTCTTTTGTGTCAACCGTCTTTCACTTAGCACACTTTCAAAGTTCATTCATGGTTTAGCTTTTATCAGTACTTAATTCCTTTTCATTGCTGAGTAATATTCTATTGTATAGAAACAGCACATTTCCTTCAGCTGATGAACACTGTTGTTTCCACCTCTTAGTTATTATGAGAGCACTGCTAGGAACATGTACGCCTGTTTTGTCGTGTACATATTTCCAGTTTTCTTAACACAACTGGGAGTAGAAGCAGGGGTCCCTACATTTGCCGTGTCATGTGGTAACTTTAACTTTTTGAAGAATCACCAAACTGTTTTCCAAAGAAGGTCTATCATTTTACCAACAATGGACAAGGGCTCCAATTTCTTCACACCCTAGCCAACACTTGCTACTTTTCCTTAAAAAGTTAGCCTAGTTGGCATGAAGTAATAACGTCCCACTGTCCCTTTGATGTGCATTTTCCTATTGCACCTTTCCATAGACTTACTGGCCATCTGTGTATCTTACTTGGAGAACCGTCTTTTCAAATCCTTGGCACACTGGGTAATTGAACGACTATCGTTTTAGTGTTGAGTTCTACCACTTTCCTTTAGTAATTCTGATTTAAACATTCCATGTTTTTTGTTTACTGTGATCTAATTCTTATTGCAAATTTCACCATTTTAATTTCTATCACTTTTCACAAAAGAAATTCAAAGCTGTTTAATGGGGACGTCATTAAATAGGCAAAAATATGTTCTATACAAAGATATTACTAAAGCACCATTAATAAAACAGGTAGCAGTTATTTTCAAGTAAGTAAAAGAAATTTTTTTAAATGGCTCTAGTTATCCTTGTCTTTATGTCAATGACAACAGACTAGAAAGGCCAAGAAACAGAACTTCTGTGAACTTATTGTCTGAACTTAGTGTAATGTCCACATTTGGCTCCCTCACAGCAGCTGGAACTATCACGGTGTAAGCAAGAGGAAAAGGAAAGGACAGTGGAGGCTCCTCTCCAGAGGAGTCCAGTCCTACTTCGATGTTTAGTTTCCAGATGCTTCGGTTCAGAGCACTGCTAAGGTACCCCCCGACTCCTGCACTCAAGACTTAACAAAACATTGATGTAGTTCAATTTCACGTTTCAACGGTTAAATTGTACCTACAAAACTAGGATATGGGAAACGAGATTCTAAAGTTAAAACTAGTGGGGCCTCCCTGGTGGCACAAGGGGTGAAGACGCAACCTATGAGGCTGTCCGCAGCCTCTGCAGCACAAGTTCGAGCCCCGGCCAGGGCACTACCCGCATGGCGCGGCAGACCTCTCCTGTCTCCCCGCTGCTCCCCTCAGCAGTGGGTTTCAGTCAGTCTGCCTGTTCTGCTCCCTGCTCTGTCTCTGGTGAATCCCCTCACCCCCCGCACCTCTGGCCTGTACCCCGGCTCTACTATGCATGAATAAATAAATCTTAATAAAAAAAATCACAACTAGTTAAACTGAAACCTCTTTCAGATTCGGCACGAATTCTTAATCTTCAAATAGAGGCGGCCTCGCCGACCCGAGTAACCTCACACCCTCGCCGGCGCCGGGCCTCCCTCCGCGCTCCACCCGCGTCTCCCGGCTGCGCCCAGGGCGAGCCTGAGGAGGACGGGGCCCGAGTGGCGGCCGGCGCGCGGCTCCTCCGGGGCGAGGCCCCGTCGAGGCTTCGGTGGGTCAGTCCAGGGCCGGCTGCGAAGACGCGGGGCGGGAGCGCGGGGTAAACATGGCGGCAGGGCCCGCCGTCTTCAGAGCCTTTAAAAACTCCCCTGGAACCAGACCGACGTGGGGCTCCTCCCGCGAGGCGCCCGCGGACCAGGCCTGGCGCCCGCCGCGAGCCCGCGGGCCGGCTCCCTCAGACCCCCGCCCGCGCCCGCCCGCCGCCCGCCTCAGCTCACCGTCCACGGCCTGGTCCGCAGCCGCCGCCGCGCCGTGCGCCTCCGGCGGCGCCAGCGGGGCGAAGAGCTCGGCCACCAGCTCCCGCATCTGGGCCACGCCCGACAGCAGGCCCTGGAAGGGGTCGGCGTCGCCCGGCGCCTCACACCGGACCCTCAGCTCCTGGCGCTGCCCGTCCTGCCCGATGTACTCGCCCAGCAGCTCCATGGCGACCGCGGGGCTTCAAGAGCGCGCCACAGGGAAGAGCCACCCGGAAGCGGAAGTCGCCGGCGGCACGTGGGGCGCGCGCCGGAGGCGGGAGAGCGCGACTTCCGTTGTGCGGGAGTCGCCCCGCCCCCTCCGCGGCTCGCTTTCTTGGGGATTGGCTCCCGGCGCCGGGCCCCGCCCCCGGCCCCGCCCCGCCCCCGCCCCCGCGGCCGCTTTCCCGCCTCTGCCGGCGGCGCCGCGGTCCGGGTGACAGTTGGGCATGGCGGGCGCCGACGGGCCGGCGGGGCTGGAGCCCGTGGTGTCGCTGGTCGACGTGCTCGAGGAGGACGAGGAGCTCGAGAACGAGGCGAGCGCCGTGCTCGGCGGCAGCGACTCGGAGAAGTGCTCCTACTCGCAGGTGGGCGCGCGGCGCGGCCTCGCCCGGCCGGCCCCGCCGCCCCCCCCGCCGGACCCCCCCGGACCCCCCGCTGGCCCCCCGACCCCCCCGCCGGACCCCCCGATCCCCCGCCGGCCCCCCGACCCCCCCCGCCGGAACCCCCGGACCCCCCTGCCGGAACCCCCGGAACCCCGCCGGCCCCCCCGCCCCGCGCGGGCCCCGCTCCCGGGGCGCCCGGCCGACCCCGGCGTCCCCCCGCCCCCCGGCCCGCGACGCCTCTGCCGCGCGGCCGCGTCCCCCGCGGGCCCCTCCGCCGCCCGAGGCGGGCCGGGCCGGGCCGGGGCGGGGCGGGCGTCCCGGCCCCGCTCGCCCGCCCGGGGGCCCGGCGGGATCTGGGGGGACGCGGCCCCGCAGCCCCCCGCCGCGGCCGGGCGGGAGCGGAGCCCCGGGGAGGCCGCGGGCAGGCCCTGCGGTGGCTCTGGTTTGGGGGACTCGCCCCCTATTCCTTCCGGGGCACAAAGACGGGGCCAGCTGGGGAGGGCGGGGCGGGGGGCGGGCCGGGGCGGGGCCGGCGCCGGGGGGGGGGGGACCTGCTCGGACCCCACGGCGTCCCTCGGAGGCTCCTGGCGGCTGCTCCTTAAAGCCCGCGTGGAAACGGCCCCCTGGGGCGCGCGGGCGGCACCCGCTTGAAGCTGCCGCCGCCTGTGGCGCGAGTTCGAGCCCCGGCCAGGGAGAGCCCCTCGGGGCGCGGCGGACCCCTCAGCGGTGCGTCTCCGCGGGCTGCCGCTCTGCTCCCCGCTCTGGCCCTGGTGAACCCCTCACCGCCCCATACCTACCTCTGGCCTGTACCTGGTTCTTTCATAGATAAAAATCTTTAAAGTCTGTATGTAAAGTATTTTTGAAATGTAGTTAGCTTTGTACCACAGACTCTCCTGCAGTTTTCCTTGTACCACATAAACGGAAAATTGCCCGTTATGTTTACACGGGGGGAGGGAAGCACACGCATGCACATCCCTCCGTCAAGAATAGAACTTGACCGGCATTCCAGAAGCTTCCCTGTGTCACCCGCCTTTCTGGAGGAGGGTAACGGTTATCAAAATTTCTAAAAGCATTGCCTGCTTCTCCGCCAACTTTCGGAGACATTTCAAATTTACAGATAAGCTGAAAGAATATAACAGACACTTGTGTACCTTTTACATATGTTCACTTTACCATAATTTTTTAAAAAGATTTATTTTATTTATACAAGAGCCAGGGTACAGGCCAGATGTGTGGGAGGGTGAGAGGATTCACCAGAGCCAGAGCGGGGAGCAGAACAGGCAGACTGACGAAGTACACTGCTGAGGGGAGCGGCGGGCGGCAGGGCAGGAGAGGTCTGCCGTGCCATGTGGGACCCTCGCTGGTGGTCGGGGATGGAGCCGGCGCTGCGGAGGCTGCGGGCAGCTTCCCATCCCAGCGCTCAACCACCGGCGCCACCAGGGAGGCCCCTACCACATTTATCTCTCTGCTATATACACATTTACCCTCCCCAACCATTTGAAAATAAGTTACAGATACTGTGACACTTTATCTCTGAATATTTTAGCATGCATTTCTTAAAAATCAAAGGAGTCTTTTTAACACAATGAATTTCTCTTTGGTGGAGTCACAAGCATTTTCCACAATTTTAAGTGTGAAATTACTTATAGGCTTGGTACATTCATTTACATTTTAGTGTGTTAAAAGTTAAGCAAACCAGCTTATTTACAGCTGACTGGAAATTTAAGCTATCACTTTAAGAAAAAATTGTTTGAAAATAAGCACTGGTATAGCACATATAAGTGATATGAATATTATATGCAGTACTGTTTTTTTACTATGCTGTCAGCTTTTTTTGGTCTTAATGGTTTGTACAGGAACATCTTGACCACAGATAACCTGATTTTAGTTATTTCTCAGATCATAGCATGAATATTTGGTAACTATGCTATCTTTCATTGATTTATTCTCTTTTTTTCCATTTTGGGGCTCTTTCAGGGCTCAGTAAAGAGACAAGCACTGTATGCCTGTAGTACCTGTACCCCAGAGGGAGAAGAACCAGCAGGAATTTGCCTGGCTTGCAGTTACGAATGCCATGGAAGTCATAAACTATTTGAACTATACACAAAAAGGTAAAGACAGAGATACGGGCTGAATGCTTTTTAAATGTTTATATTCCCATTTGCACTTGCTTCTTAATCTTGTTTTTCCACTCAAAGTATTTGTGTACTGATAAAATTTAATATATCGATTGTTGTTTTATGTAATATAGTTGTAGGGAATTTTTCCCAAGGGCCTTATTGTATTTATGTGAGTATATGTGTGATACAGTATTTTCTCTGCATATTATTTTCCAGAATTAGTGAATCTTTCATTGTTACTGGCATTGAGAAATTGCAGATTGGATACATGATCAGCAACCAAGGAAACTTTCTAGGTCCTAGAAATGAGTTGACAAGAAAGAGGCTATGATATGAGTTTAAAGAATAAGTCATTAGGTTTAAAATAAAAAATGGGGGCCTCCTCGGTGGCCTAGGGGTTCAGTCTCAGTGCTATCACCAACGCAGCCCACCGCAGCAGCCTGAGTTCATCCCTGGCCAGGGAGCTAACCCATATGTGGCACAGCGGACCTCTCCTGTCTCCCATTTCTCCCCTCAGCAGTGTATTTCAGTAAATCTGCCTGTTTCCTCCCCACTCTGTCTCTGGTGAATCCTCTCAACCCTGGAGCCTCTGGCCTACACCCTAGTTCTTCTCTGCATAAATAATAAAATACTATTTTAAAAAATTAAAATGGATTCTTCTTCCTTTGTTTCAGGAATTTTCGTTGTGATTGTGGTAACAGCAAGTTTAAAAATTTGGAATGCAAATTATTTCCTGTAAGTAAGCTCTGGAACTGTAAATGCATTGAAAGTAGCTGAGATTGATAATTGCCCTAGTGAATAAAAACCAACTATTTTCCAAAAAGGAAATTTTTATGCTCATTCTTTGCAAATGGGCAAGTCAGTATTAGACTGTATACCATTTTTTTACCTTTCTGGAAATCTATGTAACCTTTCAGAGCCTACATTATAGATTGTAATTAATATAACAGGCTTTAGGGGGAAATGTTCTTTAAAGGGATTCAGGTCTAATTATTAATAATTATTGGTTACGCTCATACTTTGAGGATTTTAAAGCAAAGGGTATGATTTTAAAAACTGAATAAATAAAACTTGGTAATAATGAACATGGGTTAGATGTACACAGGAGTTTTTCACTGATTTTTGACTAATAAAAAATATGTTTATACAATTACTTTTAGTGAAATAACAAACAAAAGTAAGGAATTTTATATTGTTCAGTTGTAATTGCTCCTCTCCTGAAGGTTATTTTGAGATGGTTTTCTTGTCTGTGTTTTACCTCCTATTAACCTGGGGGCTTTAGTTAATCACAGCTGGGCCTTTGAAATTTTGGGCCAATGTCAGTTTACATGGGTTTATAATTAAAACTTATAATTAACTTTTATCACCTTTTATTAAATGGGCATACTTGGTTGCCTCCAATTACTACAAAGAAAATTTTATTTTTTACCTGTGTCCTAGAAAAAGTATCCCTTTAATAGGAGTAAATTGTTTTTCTTTGTACTTTGAAAGTTAAAAGCCACCTTCTGGAGCTAAGATATTTAATGCATAAATTTATTGAATGCACACATTTCATGATACATGAAATTATACTTAAAATTAGAGCATGCTATAATTGAAATTATGTATTTCAGGACAAGGCAAAGGTAAATCCTGGCAATAAGTACAATGACAACTTTTTTGGATTGTACTGCATTTGCAAGCGACCTTATCCTGATCCAGATGATGAGGTGAGAGTGTTAGAGAATCCCACCCAAGACTGTGTCATTTCCAGACTTTGAGGCTATTTGGGGGAAACTTAGGGGTTTTAGGTTTATTCCTAAAATAAAAGGATTTGAAATAAAAGGATTGAAAGGATTTTAGGTTTATTCCTTCTTATGAATCTGAGATGGAGCTATAATTGTATAGACCAGTTATTTTTTTCATTTTTGTATCATGAGAATAAGATATTGGACAGTACTTTTCCAAGACCAGGATTTCCCACCTCCTCTCTTTTTGCCTGCCTGTTTACTTCCCTAAACACTTTCCAATAAATAACCTTTAACTTCTTGCCTCCCTGAAAGGAAAGAAATGGAGTGTAGGCCTCCCCGGTGGCGCAGCAGGTGGAGCACAGCTCTGTGAGGTGGCGCCAGTTTGATCCCCACCAGCCAGGGAGATTCCCACATGGCGTAGCAGACCTCTCCTCTCTCGCCCACTGCTCTCCTCAGCAGTGTATTTTGTTCCAGAAGCCTGTTCTTCTTCCTGCTCTAACTCTGGTGGATTCTTTCACCCTCCCGTGCCTCTGGCCTATACTCCAGTGCTTGTATAAATAAATAAATTAAAAAAAAAAATGGAGTGTACACATTGAGTCATCTTAAAATTTCTGATAGACATATACAACATTTATTTATTTATTTATTTATTTTTAAAGATTTATTTATTTATACAAGCACTGGGTACAGTCAGAAGCGCGGGAGGGTGAGAGAATTCACCAGAGCCAGAGCGGGGAGCAGAGCAGGCAGAAGGACCGAAGGACACTGCTGAGGGGAGCAGCGGGCGGCAGGAGAGGTCTGCGCGCCATGCGGGACCCTCCTCCGGTGTCCGGGGAGCAGCCGGGGATCAAACCGGCACTGCAGAGGCTGCGGGCAGCTTCGCAACCCAGCGCTCAACTGCTGCGCCACCAGGGAGGCCCTCTTTTCAGTATTTTAAAGAAAGCCGCAGAGAGCATCTTTGTACAGCAAGGTAGCTGCGTATACTCCTGCATTTATGTAGAACAGACATGATGAGTCAGAGGATATTTAAATTTAAAATTATGATCATATCTACCAAAAGTTCAATATGTCTTTTTTCCCAACATTCTTGTTGATCCAGCATATTACAAATCTTTTAAAATTTTGCCATTCTGATAAATGAATAGTAACTTTAAATTTTTGCCATTCTCTGATCAGTGTTTTTTGGACATTTGTATTAACCTCTCAGAATTGTCCTTTGGCCCCTATTTTTGATTGGGTTCTATTTGTGTATTACTAATTTGAATGAGTACTTTTTATATTTAGAGAAGTTAGCCTCTGCCTTCTTCCTTGCTTTCTATTTGTCTTGGGACTGTAATTATTGAACCAAATTGAATAGAGGAACACATCTAAGATATCTTTGAATTAACAAAGATAAAACCTTAAAAAGTGGATATTTTGGGCCTCCCCTGGTGGTGCAGGCAGTTGAGCGCCACGCTTGAAACTGTCCACAACCTCTGCAGCGCCGGTTCGATCCTGGCTGGCCAGTGAGGGTCCTACATGGTGCGGCAGACCTCTCCTGTCTCACCCGCTGCTCCCCTCAGCAGTGTATTTCGTCAGTCTGCCTGTTCTGTTCCCCACTCTGTCTGGTGAAACCTCTCACCCTTCCGCGCATCTGGCCTGTACTCTGGTTCTTGTATAAATAAATAAATCAATCTTTTTTTTTTTTTTTTTTTTTTAAAGTGGATATTTTAAGGTATGGGGTAAGGTACATAGCTGTTGAATCAAAAGATAATGAATAGGGCCTCCCTGGTGGTGCAGGCTGTTGAGCGCAGCTCTGTGAAGCTGTCCGCAGCCTCTGCAATACTGGTTCAATCCCCGATCCCCGCCGGCCGCCAAACAACCCACATGGCACGGTAGACCTCTCCTATCTCACCTGCTGCTCCCCTCAGCAGGGTATTTCAGTCAGTCTGCCTGTTCTGTTCCCCACCCTGTCTCTGGTGAATCCTCTCACCCTCCTGTACATCTAGCCTGTACCCCGGTTCTTGTATAAATAAATGTTTTTTAAAGATTTATTTTTATACAAGAACCAGGGTACAGGCTAGAGGCGTGGGAGGGTGAGAGGATTCACCAGAGACAGAGTGGGGAACAGAAGAGGCAGACTGACGAAATACACTGCTGAGGGGTGCAGCGGGTGGGACAGGAGAGGTCTGCCCCGCCATTCAGGTATCTCCCCGGCCGGGAATTGAACGAGCACTGCAGAGGCTGCAGACAACTTCACAGCGCTGTGCTCAACCCCCTGCGCCACCCGGGAGGCCCTAAATAAATAAATCTTAAAAAAAATAATAATTTGAGCAAGGCAGAAGAATGAGACTGCCATATGAACATACACAAATATTTACATACACACACATATGCTTTTTTTTCTTTTAAAAAACAGTAACAGGGCCTCCCCGGTGGCCTAGGGGTTAAGCGCTATCACTACTTTGGCTTGAGTTCTATCCCCGGCCAGGGAACTAACCCACACATGGCGCAGCAGACCTCTCCTGTTTTACCCACTGCTCTCCTCAGCAGTGGATCAGTAAGTCTTCCTGTTCTGCTCCCCACTCTGTCTCTGGTGAATCCTCTCACCCTCCTCCCCCTGCCCCCACACCTCTGGCCTACCCCCCGGTTCTTGTACGCAAAAAATAAATATTAAAAACAACACAAGGAAAGGTCAAACTTTGGAATGTTAAGTTTAGATGTGAAAGCCTGCAAATAAAAGGATAATCATTCCAAAAAATAGTCTATGCCCTTAAGTATATAAACTTCCTAGTACCAGAATTTAATTAATTACTCACATTAGAGAAGCTGTTTCCGTCTACATTAGGAAGAGATTGGAGCATCTGCTTTTCAGTTACTTGACAACATGGTGCGTAGAAAGTCCCAGTTGTCACAGTTTACACTGGTCAATCTATATTTCTTCCCTCAGTCTGGGATTCTGTATAAGAAAACATTACATATTTCTAAAGTTGATGAGAATCAAATATTAATAACTAATATGAGTTTTATTAATTGCTTGAAAAGTGCTTATCTCAGTGTCACTCTCCTGTAACACCTGTTCATGCAGAAGGAACTTCTTTGGCTCCTGATCTGGCTCTTTTTCCCTGTCCCCTTAACTATAGGCATATGGATAAAGAATTATTTAACATCCCATTCTATTGTGTGCCCGATTTCCCTCACAGAATTCACTGTATTAACACATATAACACTACCATTATTAACACTAATTGTGTAGCACAGCATTAACATTCATGCTTTCCCGTGTTAGATTCCAGATGAGATGATCCAATGTGTAGTCTGTGAAGACTGGTTCCATGGAAGGGTAAGGAAAATTTTTGCCTTTTAAAGCCATTGTCTTCACAAGAGATCTTCTTTTGAACTCTTATATTTTAACAATTTTTACATATATATATATATATATAATTTACTATGAGGGTAATCTGGTGTTACTCTTCTACAAATAAACTATAAAGATATGATCAATGCACTATTACAGTATTTGTTTATAAAATAATGAGCATTTTGGATAACTGGAAGATCACGAGAAAGTTGTTTGGTTTTCTGTATCCACAGCATCTTGGTGCCACTCCCCCTGAGAGTGGGGACTTTCAGGAGATGGTGTGCCAGGCTTGCATGAAACGCTGCTCTTTTTTATGGGCTTATGCTGCACAGCTGGCAGGTAGGTATCTTTGTGGATTCCTGACGAGCCACAAACACATGCTGGTGAAAATGTATGTTCAGTCCAGAATTTTTAGCGACTATTCTTAACTCTGAGGTACAAAAGAAAGAGTAAGGTATGTTCCTGCTCCATAAGGTGCTTATAAATTGGTTGGGAGACTACTACCAAGAGCAATCTGTGTTTAAATGGCATGGTTATGGTTGGGTATGGTTGGGATGACAGATTATGGGATAGATCTTTTGACTGATACTTGGAAAGATGAACCAAAATAAGTTGTTCTTAAAAGTAAGACATGCTATTGACTGGGGAGGGTTGATGAGACAGTATATCAAGTGCTTTTATTCTGCACTAAGAAATTAACCCCAAACAACTACCAGCAATGAAAGGTCTTACGGCATTAGATACTTTATGGGTAATGCGATATGTGTTACTCAGTTTATTTTTAAAGTGATAATTACTCATAGTCTCTGATGCTCTGGCCTCATGTTTTCTTGCCCTTTTTACCATTAGGGAGCATTTCACTGTACAAATCACAAGCAGCATAGCAGTGTAGGATCTTCTACACTTTTGATTTGTCTCAGAGTCCTTAAACTCAGTGTACCCTCATACCTTTTCCAGTTATATGTCCCACTTTTCACTGGACCATCTACATTTCTCATTCATCAGGTTTTCTTAGTTGATTTTCCTTTTCTCCTCCCCTGACAGTAGGTGGCCTCATCCGTTAACTTGAAATACCATCATGCAACATGAGCCCCCTTATCATTTTTCTTCTCTTGTCACAGTATCTGTTTCTACACCCATCCTTTTTGATTTCCTCCTCATTAAAAAAAAGGTTGGGGGCCTCCCTGTTGGCTCAAGGGGTTAAGTCTCAGCACTATGAAGCTATCGGCAGCTACTACAGCACGAGTTCAATCCCTAGTCAGGGAGCTGACCCACATGGCATGGCAGACCTCTCCTGCCTCGCCTGCTATATTTCAGTAGATCTGCCAGTTCTGCTCCCACTCTGTCTCTGGTGAATCTTCCCACACCCCCCCCCCCGCCCCGCATCTCTGGCCTACACCCCAGTTCTTGTATGCATAGATAAATCTTTTTAAAAAAAAAAAACTTTGGGCCTCCCTGATGGCGCTGACGGTTGAGCGCCGCACTGTGAAGCTGTCCACAGCCTCTACAGCGCAGGTTCGATCCCAGCCGGCCAGTGAGGGTCCCACATGGCGTGGCAGACCTCTCCTGTCTCGCCTGCCACTCCCCTCAGCAGTGTATTTCATCACTCTGCCTGTTCTGCTCCCCACTCTGGCTCTGGTGAATTCTCTCACCCTCCCACGCATTTGGCCTGCACCCCAGTTCTTGCATAAATAAATAAATCTTTAAAAAAAAAAAAGGTTGGTTGTTTTTCCAAAACTACCATTCTACCTGTCTTTTCAGGTGACTGTCTCCCGACCATCTCTTACTGTGTGAGTTATCTCATATCTCCTCATCTACTGTCATTTTCTTTCTCCTTTACATAGAAAGGGCTTACATAACAATTGAGCGGGTTTGTTGTTTGTTTTTTTTTACATTGTTGATATTTCCATTTTCATTACTCTAGAGACTGATTGACTTTTACATTTTCTGGATTCTGAAGTGTTTTTTAATCAGACTAAGTGTGTGTGTGTATTTTAATCAGTCTAATAGGTGTGTGTGTGTATTTCATTGAATCCATAGTAACCAAAGTACCTGCCGAGGATGATGGGTTGGTGCTGAATGTTGATGGAACAGGTGATCATGAAGTTATGAAACCTGAAAATGGAGCTCATCAAGATGGTACCCTCAAAGAGGATGTTCCAGAACATGGGAAAGATGTTGTCAAGCAAGTTAAAGCAGAGCAGACTAATGAGCCATGTACCAGTTCTAGTTCCGAATCAAACCTCCAGGTAACATAAAATATGAGCCATAGAAGAAGAAATAAAAGTTAAGCAAATCAATTCAATTGGATTAATTTAATTGGATCTCAATTGTCCCCTTTGCCTAAAGAAATTCTTTTATAAAATCTAGACTATGAAAACTGTGATATTTTATAAAACACACTTCAAAGCTTAATTTTATTTCAGACAGCATTTAAGAATCAGCATCTCAACACAGAATCCCAGTCTAGCTGCAAACTTCAGGCGCTTAAAGCTAAACAGTTTGTAAAGAAAGACACTGCCACCTATTGGCCCTTCAACTGGCGTAGCAAGTTGTGTGCCTGCCAAGACTGTATGGTAAGTACCTGCTGAATTGCTAGTATGTTTTGTTTACAGATGCTTAAAAAGTGTATTTATGAAATTGATATTAGGAGTACAGAGAACTTTAAAATTTTCTAATTTAAGCAAATTTATGAAATGGCATTTGTAATCTAAATACTTGTGGGAGAAATTTAGAACTGTGCAATACTTTTATTTATTTCATCTTATTGGGAAATAGCAATTCTTATATATTTTTAATCATAAGATTGCTTGGAAACACAAATTGCTTGAAACTTACAGTAAGCCAGTGGTTTTTAAAGAACTCCTAGACCATATAATATCTTTTGGGAAGTTGGGAAATTTTTAAGTGATTTGAGCAAAGAAGAGTAAATCACTCAAGCAACTCTATGCTGAAAGACCCAGGCTTTTCTAGCTGTTATTCTAAAAAAAATTAAATGAAATTTTAATGGTTTTCATGGCTTTCTGAGATGACATCCTGTTCTAATGGGGAAACTGATTTTATTTTTTAAAGAAAATGTATGGCGACCTGGATGTGCTGTTTCTGACAGACGAGTGTGACACCGTTCTAGCTTATGAAAACAAGGGCAAGGTTGACGAGGCCGCTGACAGGAGAGACCCTTTAATGGATACTCTTAACAGCATGAATAGAGTCCAACAAGTGGAACTTATTTGTGGTAAATAATGTTTGTCTGAAATGTTTGTCGTGACATTCATAAAGTTTCCTTCACTTTTAAAAAAACATGAATAAGGGGGATGACTAGTACCTGCTGTTTTAATTTCATACACAGGTTTGAATTTGGATTGGGATAGTAGGCCTCAGCTGCACTTAGCTTAATTGTAATATTGCTGGGTATGGCTGCTATTCCCAGTGAATCAGGGTGCGTGAGAGAATAATTAATTACATGCTTGAGAAAACACATGTACTACTTTGTGTAAGGGTAGATCTTTCAGTAAAGAATAATAGAAAATCAGTTTCTTTTTTCATCCACTGAGGTAATTTTCATTGAGTATTGCTTTCCATTTTTTGGAGCAAAGCACGTGATCTTTGACACAGTTCTTGAGGTTGCTTCAGTGTTTCACAGGAAACCACGAGAGGGGAAAATATTCCCAAACCTTTAATTGCATGCTTTCACATTTTTTTCCCCCTGCATGCCAACTGAGTTTAATGATTTCCATTCTATTTCTTCTGGGATACCACCACTTATGTGCCCCTTTTATGGCATTGAGCATTTGTTTTTTATTTGTAACTTTGATTACTTTCCTTTTGACCTTAACAGTCTAGCTTTTTGAGGACAGAAGCTGCATTTAAAAGACTTTTGTAGCCCTCTACAAACTGTTCAGTGAGTTTTAAAGCATATGTTTCAAGCTTATATCAAGTCCTGGAATTCAGAGAAATAGGAAAATATTTTTAATTCTTTGGTATTTTTGGGAATGACAGTATGTATGATTTTTGAGGATTTTTAGAAAGAGGGTCCCTGAGAATCAAAATGAGGCATAAGGGAGAAATTTGGGAACAAGTTTCTCTGCGGGTGTCACTGAGAAAAATGTAAACTTAATTTAGTTAAATGTCAGTGGTAAAGAAATATTTTGCTCCTAAAAGCAAATGGCCCATCTAAAGTTAAGTAGGTTAAGTACCTTTTTTGTTGTTTTGCTTTAGAATACAATGATTTGAAGACTGAACTTAAAGACTATCTCAAGAGATTTGCTGATGAAGGCACAGTAAGTGGAATTTTAAACATAGCCCTGTATGTTTTGAAGAAAGTATCTTCTTTGATGAAAAAAATCTCTGTCCATCTGAAACTGGATACTTGGGAGTTTAATATAGGAAGACCTAAAGGAACTGAATAAGAAATGGTGACGCCCCAAAGGACTAGCCAGCCTGGGAGCCTTCCCCAGCTCTCGGCTGGAAAGAGCGGGCCAAGGACTGTTGGGAGTAACTGTAGTTTAGGAGAAGCCACTGGACGAGACCATTGTCTGCCTGGATTCAAGCAAGGACCCTTGGAGGAGGAAGGAAAAATGACTAAGCAGGAAAAAATTACAGCCAGACCCCTTTTCTGGGATTTTGAGTTCTAGAGCTTAAATAGGAAACTTTTTATAATAGGGGGTTAAAACCTCTCTTGCTAAATAGTCAAGTTCCTTTGTTAGGGTGACATGATTCTACAATGTGTAAAGTTTTAAGATAATCATCCAGAGAAGTTTGCAGGTCTTTCCTAACCCATTATTCATACCTTTGTGGCAGTGTCATTTTTTTTTTCCAAAATACTTTCATCTTCCAAAGGCAGCTGTTAAACAAAATTTATCTTTTCTTTTCATGGCCTGAAGTTGCCCTGAACAGTGAGTATTTTGCTTTTCTGTGGCCAGATGTGCAGATGGAATTAGACATGGATCTGACCGACTCTCAGGAGTGCCCCGACACTTACTTGCCTTTTGGGAAAGTCTCTGCCAGCCTTCTTTGGTCTTCTTCTTCTTTCTCACACATGTGGGAGGAACTCCTGACTGCCTCACTTTCTGGAGCAAGGTCCCAGTGCTGCTGCTCTGCAGATCACTTGCAAAAAGCTTATACTCTTACTGGTTTTCTCATTTTTCAGATAGTTCCTCAACTGTCAGGGTCAGTTTATTTGGATGAGAGTAATCTTCCTACTTCCCACAGTTCTTGAATTACGGTTATTCTTGTTTCTGTTGCAAAGCATACGCTCTGCTCAATGCAGACTCATGTTTCTCTCATGTCAGAACTAAGAATGCCCATGGGCATGTCCCCCCGAGATGGGATCAGGCTGTAATGTAATCTGGAGGGTGTGGATTTGAGAAGAGGAATCAAGAGTTGGGTGCACATCCAAGCGCCATCCCGCAGGGCTGTACCGTCAGGGCTCGGGTGTAAGGGAGTTTCAGAGACTCGGGCAGGGAGATGGGCAGAGTTTAAGTCCTTTGCTGTGAAACTTCGGATTGTTTCCTAAGTTTTCTGTATGTTCGTGATTGTGGGCAAAAAGTCTCCTGACTGAAGGCCCTAGTGCTGGCTGCTGGAGGGTCAGCAGATACCTCGTTTCTTAAGGTGACTGCGTTGCTGAGTCAGGCTGTGTAATTTCCACTGGCAGTCTCAGCCCGGGAGCTGGAGACAAGGGAGAGCGGATTCCACCGGCGCGACACTGCCAGCCTCTGCACCGGGACGGAGCTGGAGCGTTTCAGATGTGTCAAAGCACATTCTCTTGACTCTGCTCTGTGCAGCCTGTGGGCTCGGGGCTTTGTTCACTTCACCCACCCAGGCACTTAACGTAACACACCGGTAGATACGTTGTCGTTGCCGTTCACATTTGAAACCATTTTATTCACCGTCCTTAGACCTTCAACACACGGACTTTTGTTAGTGCTGAAGCCCCTCTGTAGTCTTGTGCCCGATGGGGTGGTTTAAAGGGACAGAAACTATTATTTTTTGTTTGTTCTGTGACATTACTAACTAGATCTTTATACAAACGCCTTAAGTTCTGAACGTTCTGCTACGAGGAACTGCCTTTTATTTAATGTTTGTGTCTCACTATAAATAAAGTAGAGATTATAAGTTTTCTGAGACAAGCCAGTAAAATCATGTCCTACTAAGCCCAAGCTCCCCCACCACGTTCCTACCCTGTGCTGTGGCCAGTTCAGGGCGTCCGGAAACGCCGTGCTCGCCCTAAGCCATGTGCCTTAGCTCTCCTCCCGCAAAGCCCTTGCAGGAGAAATTGTTTCCTTTTACTGGCTTTCCGTCATGAGCCACAGTAGGCCAGATCTTTCATTTTGGAAATTCCCAAGTATCCTGATAGTCAGCATTTTATGAGTATAAATTTCCAAGCCATTTAGCTGAGCACAGCAGAGCCAGAGCGGCGCCGGTGGTGGGTCTTAGCCACCTGCGTGTTGGATCTGCTGGGGGGTCTGATTCCTCACGGGTTGTGAAACCGGCCTATCGGCTAAGGCCTTCGGTAGAGCCCTGGCAGCTTGTTAGCGCTTTTATTTGGCTTAGTGGCTTAATAAGTATTTGATCTCACCCCAAGAGAGTTACTCACGTTAGGCGCTGCCCTCCTGTTCCTCAGCAGTAGGTGCCCTGCGGAGGGAGGAGGGGGGAGCAGGAGGCTTCACTTTGTACTTGTCTCCTTCCCCTCAGGCCCCACCCGCACTCCTCCTTAGCGAGGAGCTTGTGTTCCTTCTGTCACGAAAAAGTACATTAACAAACCTGTCTTGTGCTGGCCTTTAGCCAGTCATTCTTGGGGTGAGCAGGGACTCCTTCCGCGGGTGCCCAGTTTACATTTTATCCATATTTTCCATCATCTCTTTCTTATTTTTGATGTTATTTTGTTAATATGAATACCTTTGTTTGGGTGTTTCAATCCTTTTCCCAACAGAATGGAGTATTTTTTTCATTTCTGTAGCATAAAACGGATATTCCCTTTGTTAAAAGCAATGCTTCTGTAGTTTCACCAGTTATTTCCTGTTTCTGCAGCAGCCATCTTTAATCTCGCTGTTAGAGGTTTTTGGTGTTTTATGTGTTTGGTTTTGTTTTTGGTAACAAAGGAAGCACAAATCTCAAGGCAAAACTTTAGACTTTGTTTTCTGCAGGTGCTTATCCCAACCTGAAGGACATTCCAGAAAGTCAGCTGTGGTAACAGGGGTGCATGCAGTGACTTGGGAGACCTCTAGGGTTCTCAGTCCTTACCTGGCTCTGCTGTTCTTCATTTCAACTAATCTTTATTGAAAACTTACCCTGCGCCAGGCGGTGTCTAAGGGACCGCGCCTCATCTGATCTGTAAATGACCTGCTCGGGAGGTGCCGATCTCATTCTGGATGAGGAAGCCGAGGTCGATGGCAGAGCCTGCTCTTTGCACACTTAGGATGTTACGCTCCATGTGGTGTGACCTGAACAGGCTAGTTCCCCAGCCTGGGGGCGCCCCTGGAGGACGCATGGCCGCTCTGTGATCCTCAGCAGCAGCGTTTGGGAATGCACGAGAGAGGCTGTGCTGGTCTGCCCTGTCCTTCCCGCTCCTAACGTTTGCTTTTCATAACAGGTGGTTAAGAGAGAGGATATCCAGCAGTTCTTTGAAGAGTTTCAGTCAAAAAAGAGAAGACGAGTGGACGGGATGCAGTATTACTGCAGCTAGCCGGAGTGCGGACCCTTCCCCGCAGGCCCACCCCGCGGAAGGGCCACTTGCTGTTCTGGAATAAAGGAGGCACATTTCACAGTTGTTCCTCTTTTCCTCTTCTCTGCGAGGAGGCCTCCCCTCCCCTCCCCTCCTCCTCCGGCCTTGAACTTCCTTCTTACTGCAGTCGCCATGTTTGTGCTGATTTCACAACCAGCATTCCTCTTCCTGACTCAGCTATATGCAGCTCATTGCACAGACTTCAGCTCCCCTGTCTACCCAGGGCTATTCACTTCTAAGTTTTAAGACATTTGGTTGGATTTTGAAAGAGTAAATTAATTTCTTTTCTAATGATTTGTTCTTTAACTCCCAAATGTGTCTACTTTGCCTCAGAGCTGTTGTCTTCCAGGCCCTGCTCTGTGGCGCCCACAGAAGATTCTCTTCCTGTCAGCTAGAACCTCTGTAGGTCCCCTCACCCCAGTGATCGTGGTGCCTTGCATCAAAGCTTCCTCAAGCCTGGTCTGCTCCTTCTCCCGCGTTCCTGCCTTCTGAGGTTTGGTCACGGCGTAGAAAGGCCCTGGGAGCTTGTCTCCTCCGGCCCAGCCTCCAAAGTAGCCAGGGTTGGTGGTTTTCTGGCCTGGATGTCTGTCACAGGCAAGGAGATTGGCTGATGGCAGGGTTGAGGAAGCCAACCTTTATTATAACCCTCACTGATAAATTTAAAGGGAGATTTTCATTCACAATTCTGCTGGCACGAGAATCTTAGAATTTCAGTACTGTAGTGCTTACCGGGCTTCCTGAAGAAAATTGCCAGAACAGAACATCAGTCCCTCTTCTGCTGCCTAGAAAATAGACCGGGTACTCCCCTGTGAAATCTTGGTGGTTTACAAAGTCCTCTGGATTTCTTTATATTATCAGGGATATTCTTACACGTATTTTAAAAATGGGCCTATTTTGATATTGTTCTGTTATAAAATTGTTATTAGAACTCAATAAATTATTTTTTCCCCCTTAACTCTATGCTGAAGAAAGAAGAGCCTGACTAGCTTACTTGAGGTGAACAGGGCACTAAGTGCCCTGATTTGGAAGAGGCAGACTGTGTGGAGAGATTCCCAGCAAGGCCCCAGCTGCACGATTGACGAGCTTTATGTACATAAATCCTAGTGCCCACCACTGGTTCCCTAATGACTACGAGAACTTCTTTTGAAGAACCTCATGGAATGTTGTATAAAACCCCATTTTCAAGGGATATCCTTTCAGTTGGTCTGAAACACCTTGAAAGACCCTCCGTCTGTGTAGAAAACACCCTTTGATAAACACAGAGCCCCTGGTCACGCTCCCTCTGCAGGAACAAGGGCTTTCTTGACAAAGATGACTCACTTTGAGACATGTGACTAAGCGTTTGAAGCTTTGGGACCACAAGTGTTTAATGTTCCTGATGTGGTGCGTCCAGCGTGCCCGTACACAAGAGCCCCCATCCCTGGATGAGATGCGCGAGGCCTGCAGTAAGTCAGGGCCTCCAAGAAATGGTTCAACCCATGTTTTTCTGCATCACGTCTAATTACAGATCCTCGCGGAAGAGCGACGTGTGGAGCTGGAAGCACTTGTGGCCACAGGAAAGGCTTGTGTTCTCCCAGCAGGCCTTGTAGGAAAAGGTGACAAGCCGGGGCGCCTCGGAGGTTGTTTACCACCCCTGCTTGGGAAGTCTTTCAAGTCTGAGATTCTCTAGCCCCGTCTGCAGGGTTGTACTTGTGGCCTGAAAGTTTACTTCTCAAACATTTGCTTGAACTCCCAGAAAGTTCCTTACTTCTTATGGCAGGTCAGGATCCAGTCCCAGAGGCGAGGCGTTACTCTGCAGGCACACAGCACCCAGTGCCGGAGGGCTTGTGTTACGAGAGGTACTGTTCCTTCTTTCACATTAACCAGAAAACCTCTTTTTTAACCTGTTGTTCACAACGCGTTTTCTTACTGACTGTATTAGACCATCTCTTCTTGTAGAGACTGAATTTGGCCAACATGTGGCAGTGGATATTAATGCATGTTTTATGCAAAACAAAAAGATACTAGTTGCTTTTAAGGAATTCTGACATTGTATGTGCATTTTTTTGTAGACTTGTTATTGGACTTACAATTACATACTTACTCTAATCAGGTTTCTGTAAAATTTAAATAAAGCCAATTCAAAATAGTGACTTACAGGTCGTTTTTAGTCATACTTAAATGTGTCCAGCCCCCCTCTGCAGGCGCTCAGAAAAGGAGTATATGAATCTACCTCACCGGTTATTCCTGCGCTGGGGTCCAGCCTGGTCCGGGCTCGTCTCTCCTCCCATTTTATAAGACGTGACCTGATCGGAGGTCGTGCCAGGAGAGCTTTGTCATTCTCCAGCTTCCCAACACCTCCTAGCCCCCCGCCGAGGCCTAGATGAACAGGAGAACAAAGAAACGGACTTGGCTTGTGACCCATCACAAATTGCGCGGGTCCTGCTGTGCGCAGAGGGCGAGGGCAGGCGCCCCCAGCCAGGGGGACAGGCGAGGCCACCCTCGCTGGGGCCGTTACTTCAAAAGTAAGTGAAGCCAGAGAGCCAAGGCAGAGGCCCTTCTGCCCCCACCCCCACCCCCCCTTCGCCCTTCCCGGGAAACTGCTCAGGCGAGGTGAGGTAAGCGCAGGTGAAGCTGCTCACCTGTCGGTGCCGGGACAACTGCACTTTTCCCGTCCCCCCAGAGGACGCCGGAAGAGCAGGAGACTGGAAGAGCAAGCCAAGTGGCTGCAGGACTGAGGCCACGACCTAGTTCAGCCCCCAGGGGAGGCGAGTGGTCGGGGGAGCGCGGGAGAACGGAAAGCCAACCGGCAAGGCCCCTGCACGCCTGCGAGGCTGTGCCCGGGCACTCCCTGAAGCTGCTGCCACACCCGAGCTTGGTGTGAGGGCGGCATCTGGCATCTGGCTCTCACAGCTGTGCTGTGCCCAGTCTCCCCCGAGCCGCTGGGCCTTGGGTAGGAGCGTGCTCCGTACTGGTGGGCACAGGTCCCCCGGGGAGTGAGGGACCCAAGAAGTTGCCCTGGAGCCTCCTTGGGACTGGAGCCCCTTCTTCAGGGGACCCTCGCGGGCCCCAGCGCTGCCTTGCCAGCCAGCCGCCCGGCCTTCCTGCTCGAGGCAGAGGAGCCCCGGGTGTCGGCGACACCCCTTTTGCCCTGCCAGGTGACTTGACTGGCCTTGGCCACACCCCTCTTGCCACCGCTGGCATCAATCTTGTGAGTTTTGGGGGTGCCAACCTTCAGAGGAGGTCACACCCCAGAAGGACCCCCATCCAGATCTCTCTGGTCTCCCAGGGACTGGCCGCAATGAAGGCCGTCGTGCTTAGCTTCGCCCTGGCTCCCGTGCCCCAGCCCCCTGACCTCCCTCCTCTCCGCCGCCCGCGTCTCTGCTCCCCCACGCCGCTCACCCAGGCTAGTGCCTGCAGGCACAGGGCAGGCACCTAAGAGAGTCCTGGAGCCCTTGGTGGATGTTTCAGCCTTCAATGCTCTCAGGGGACCAGGTGCCCAGGCACCGGCTGGTGGGTGGTGGGGGGTTGGGCTGCAGGCAGGCAACGGATTCCCAGCCCCCCATGAATCTTCACACTTTCTCTGGGCGCTCTGGCCTTCTCTTCTGCAGTCAGGTGTCCTCGCAGCCGTCCTCTGCCTGAGTCACGCTGCCCTTAGATCCCTGACCCCCAGGCTCAGGTGTGCACACTGGCACACGTAGGCACACCCGTGCGCCAGGTGTCCACAATCAGGCACGCGTGCCCCACACCCACACTCCCAACTGCCTTCTGCGTCAACACCATCAAGGCCGCAGGTGATAACCACAGAGGCTAGTGGGGGAAAAAGCCGATTAATTCGCTTACCCGACCCTGTGAAGTTCCGTGAGAACTTTCACACTGAAGGTTCTACCACTTTCGCCAGAGAAACAGACCCGGCATTGTTCATCTTTCTGCCTCTCTGCTCCATATGTGTGTGTATATATTTGAAAAGTTCTCTGGTGTCTTAGGCCTCTCCCAGGATTTACGTGCAGGGATGTATGTGTCATGGAGGCTGAGATGCCCCACAGGCCGCCGTCTGCAAGCCGGAGGCCCAGGAAGGCCTGCGGGGTGGTCGCGGCCCAAGCCTGGGGCCCAAGGGTCAGCGCCCCGTGTCTCTGTCTTGGCTCTAGCTCAGGAGACGACTGTTCCAGCCCAGGCTGGCGGGTCGTAAATTCGTCCTTCCTCTGCCTTGGTGCTCTCGTCAGCGCTTCCTCCCCCCGAGTCACTGCAGGGGCGGGGCATCTGCTGTTCCAGGCTAACCCAGACACCCTCAGAGGATCCACAACCAGAAGAGCCTTTAGTCAAATACCTGGATGCCCAGAGCCCAGTCAAGTGAACGCAAGATTAACCGGCACCGCAAGCAACAACTGCTTTTTCAGGTTTGCCCCAGCAGTGTTGGGGGGGCGGGTACCGCGCGCCCCCTGGTGCTCTGGCGGTCCGGTCTCTGTGACCTGGGGGCCGGGCTGGGGGGGTGAGCGAGCAGTGGTCTCTGCCTGTCGTTATGCTCTCTTGCAGCTCAGCTGAGACCCATGGAGGCCACCATGCCTGGCTCACGGCACCCTGCAGGCCCCTCTGCTCCCCCAGGTCGCCCCAGTTAGAAGTCCTGGAGCTCTAGATAAGAGGGGGTGGCCCCAGGGGACAAAGGAGCCACTTGAGAGTGATACATGCGCGCGCACACAGCTCATTCACAAGCTTCAGAGCCAGCGCTAGTCACTGGTTTCATTCCAGGCTCCTCTTCTCAGTCCACTGGCAGGTGAAGTGCTGCCAGCTGCGGCTCACCCGCCCGGCATCCCCTCCCCACAGTGACCTCTTCATTATGCCTGGAAAGCCCTTGACTTAGACGTGGCTAATGCTCAAAAGGCTCCTTCACTTTGCGGCAGCGCATCGCCAGTCATGGCCTACTTGTGAGGCTACTTGCTCACTCGCTGTCCTTCCTAGCAAACCCTAAATTCTGCGAGGTCGGGGTCTGTCGTTCCAGACCATTGTCAAAGTGCTGAGACCTGGCGATGCTGCCCGTGATGGGGCCGCCCGGGCTCCGTGTGCCGGGGGAGGGCTCACAGGTGCAGTGCATGATCTCAAGTCACCCTGATGAGAGTGACGTCTCCATCCGGGTTATTAGATACTCAAAGAGAAGACCCAAACCCGGGAGCACTCTGACAGATTTTACTCTTTGAGAACGGTATGAACAAACAGGTTTAAATTTAGTTAATATAGGGCCTCCCGGTGGCACAAGGGGTTAAGATGCAGCCTATGAAGCTGTCTGCAGCCTCTGCACATGAGTTCTATGCCCGGCCAGGGAGCTACCCACACGGCGCAGCAGACCTCTCCTGTCTCCCGCTGCTCCCCCCAGCAGTGGGTTTCAGTGGATCTGCCCGTTCTGCTCCCCACTCTGTCTCTGGTGGAGCCTCTTACCACCCCCCGCACCTCTGGCCTGCACCCCAGTTCTTGTATGTATAAATAAATTTAGTTTATATAGGTGGGTTATAGGAGAGGTCTGCCTCGCCATAGGTGGGTCAGCTCCCTGGCCGGGGATTGAACGCAGGCCACAGTGGTGATTGCGCTGAGACTTAACCTCCACGCCACCAGGGAGGCCCTAACATCAACATCTTTAGGGACAACTTCCAACTTGAAGCCACTCCCCTCCCTCAAGAATAATTACATTTTTAATGCCAGTGACTCATGACACCAAGGAGGGGACCTGCTGGGGGCTGGGGTCCCACCATGATGGCTGGGAGGCCGTGGGCTTCCTGGGGCTCGTGGTGAGCCAGACACAGGGCTGTGGGGCCCATCTAAGCCTGCGGGGCCCAAGGGAGAGCACAGCGTCTGCTGGTGGCTAATGCAGGAGGCTGGCCACCTCCAGCTGCAGGCTGAGGTTTTGGAATTGGCAGGAGTTCGGGAGGAAGTGGGAAGCGCTGGGGGGGTGGGGGTACTGGCTGGGCATCTGAGATGAGTGCTGCCAAGGGGTCTGAGGTCCAGGGGTCAAGGCTGGGCTGCCTTGGAGGTATCGGCACCCCGGGTAATTGAAGCCATTGGGGCACGAGTGAGCGACTTCCTCACCAGGAGGCGTGTGAAGAGTGCGAGAAAAGCTGCCAGGACAAGCCAGGAGGCAGCCGGGAAGGTGTCAGGACCCCGGGTGTGTTACAGGAGCCGGGGGTCAGGAGACCCAGGGGCCATGCTACAGAAGCGTGGGTGTCACGAGACCCGGTGGGGGGCATCCCAGAAACCAGGGGTGTCGTGCTGCCAGGTAAGATGAAAAGCATCTGCTGAGATCTGAAAGTTCTAAAGCAACTGAGAAATAAGACGCAGACGTAAGGCAGACATGTTTCGGCCTCTCCTCCCCATTTTATTTCTGAGGAAGCAGACCTGGGGGATGTGGCTCTCTGCGGGCGCCCGGCACGGACGCCAGGATTGGGCACCCGGCCCGGCGGGACAGGCCGGCAGCGCCCATCTGCTTGGTTCCCCGGTTGGTAGAGGACACTCGAGAGCCTGGACCTGCACCGCCTTGGGGAGCAGGTTGCAGGAGGGAGGGGCGGGGAGGGGCGGGGAGGGAGGAGCATGGGCTGGGGACACGGGTCCAGGGAGCGTGGGTTACAAGAGCCGCCGCCGGAGCAAGAGAGCTCACCAGCCGGGCAGATGGACTCCAGAGCAAGGGGGTCTGAAGGAAGGAGGGTCAAACCTCCTTCTACTATGGGGGGGTTGGGGGGGAGGGGAGAGGATGCAGTTGAGGGTGTGGGTTGCAGCCCGGGCTGCGGGAGTGTCCTGTTCCTGTGAGGCGGAGGGAGGCTAACGGGGCTGGGCCTGGGGAGGAGACAGCGCAGCGGTGCAGGGAAAGTGAAAAACCATCAGGCTTTCCCGCCCTCCCGCCATTGGCATTAATGAGGGACCCCTGCGGGCCCACACCTGCTTGCGGGTGGCCCCGGGGTAGGGTGTGGGCACGCACAAGTGGGTGCCCGGGGCTGGAGCCGGGGCTCAGGAGGGCGTGTCACGGGGACGCCCGAGAGGGCAGCAGGACGAGAGCAGAGACAGCGGGCGGCAAAGAGAAGCAGAGGCCGCAAGGGAAGGCCAGAGAGTCCAGAGTGAAGACTCGCGAGGTCTGACGGAATGGGGGGCACCCTCCTTCCTCAAAGGGGAGAAGGGAGGTGGGGAGGAGCAGGATGGACTAACTGGAGAATTCTCAGGGAGCCGATGGACTTGTCGGAAGGTGGGGCGATGGGAGGTACACGCTTTTAGTTGGGTCATAGCACGGGGCTGGGTGGAATGTTTGGTACAACTGATGGAAGATTCTAGAAACGGAGGATGTTTATGTAACTAGACAAGCTTAAAGGGGGGGGGGGTTTCAGGGAGAGTGCCAAGGTCAACAGGCGCCTGCAGAACCTCATGGCAGCCCTGGGAGGTGGGTGTTGAGGATTTCCTTCACCGGAGGATGACCTACTCCTCAGGCGATGAGGATTATGAAATAAAATACGTCATAGTCAGAGCTCAGTAAGGATAAGGGCCTGAGTGTCAGGTGACTTGCCCGAAGCCCCACAGGCCTGGATCTGACTAGATCTTTCTCACGGGACATGTCCTTCCTATGACAACATCAGCCAACCGAGCTCTCTGCCACAGCGCTCAGCCCAGCTCGGGCTCTGCCTCTTCCTGGAAGCCCACCTGGAAGCCCTCCCTTCCTCGCTCAGCGGTCCTGCCTCTCCCATCCCCTGTGCTCTGAAGGTCACTTCCACAGGGCGTCTTCCCAGTCCCGGGACCAGTGAGATCCCAGCACACCTGTCATTCTGTCTCTTCTTCCTGGAGACCCTAAAATTGTCACGGGTGGGACTGTGCCTGTCTGTCCATTCCTGTCCCCTCAGCCCGGTGGTGCCTGGCAGGCAGCTGGTAACTTACGGGATGTGTTGCAGGACGGATGAAGGCCACACTTCCTCCCTCACCCCTGCTCCCACCCCCGCCTGGAGCCCTGCCCTCTGCGGCACAATGCTGTGACCCAGAACATGGGCTCTGCTGCCAGGGGCTGCCTTTGAGCCCAGGCTCTGCCCACTTATCAGCTGTGTGACCAAGTTACTTGTATCTCTATGCTTTGGGTTTCTCATTTGTAAAATGGAGGAATAAAAGAAATAGTACCTAATTCATTGATTAAAGAGGAAAATAAAATAATAAATGTGCGTGGCACTGAACCCTCCCACTCATTCCTCAGCTGTGCCCTCCCACTGCCCTTCACTGCTCTAGGATACAAGTCATTTCCAGCTTGAGTTGAAAGTCCTGGTGGGGCCTCCCTGGTGGCACAAGGGGTTAAGACGCAACCTATGAAGCTGTCTGCAGCCTCTGCAGCACGAGTTCAATCCCCAGCCGGGGAGATATCCACATGGCGCAGGGGACCTCTCCTGTCTCCCCGCTGCTCCCCTCAGCAGTGTGTTTCAGTCAGTCTGCCTGTTCTGCTCCCCACTCTGTCTCTGGTGAATCCTCTCACCCCCCACACCTCTGGCCTGTACCCCAGCTCTTGTGTGCATAAATAAATCACTCTTCAAAAAAAAACAAAAAACCTTGCAAACAGGTAAACTGCTGTCTGCTGCTTCGTATTTCCAGGCTCTTGGAAGAATGGACTCAAGAAACATGCATCCCTGCACAAGGAGAGGGGAGGCCCAGACTGGCCATGGAAGCCAGGCTGCACCCACCTTCTGGGGCGGACCCACGGTACAGAAAATTTCCCCAAGTTTTCTCTCAGCTTTGCAAGAGGCTCACCCACAAGCACCTTAGATTGTATTTTGATATTCCACAGTTTAACTGAAGATGGTTACAAAATAGAGAATTCTCAGGGAGGCATGAAGGGCAAGACGTTAGGGAACTTATTTGGTGAGATGATTAAAAATTTAAAGAGCTATTTGATAGCAACTTTTAAAATTGGAAATTAGAAAAATATTTTTTCAGAAACCTACACTCTAGATCAATTCCACTTCCCTTTCAAATTGAAAAATGTTAAATGAGCTTGAATTTGAAAAAGAAAAAAAGCTCAGCCTCAGCCAGTCTCTTGACACTTGGAGCCACCGGCCACTCGGAGCCACTGTCTGGAATGTTCCGGGAGACGAGTCTCGAGTCTTCGCGGGCAGAGCGCTGAGCTGCCTCTGGAGGCTTTCTGCACCAATGTGTAACTTGAAGTCTTTCACAAATGCCCAGTGAAATGATAGAAAAAGAGGATTCAAATGAAAACACAGATCTTCCTAGAAAACAAAAATAATTGAAAGCCCGTGATTAACTGACATCCTAGGAAGGGGGCAGCTTCGCCTAGTCAGTCCTCCCAGGCCGGCCCAGGAGCGTCGCGGCAGGGGAGCCGGCCACACTGCCAGAACAGACTCTCCAACTCAGCAGGTTCTATACAAGCCGTTTATTTGAAATGCCAACTATGTGCGGGATAGTCAGTGGTACATGCTCATCAGTAACAGTAGAAAAATAGAACCAGTGAAAACCTTTGTACAACCGTGATGATACTCATAAGAGAACGTATCGTTTTACAATGCTTCACACGGACCAATTCAAGTCTGGAGGTACCTAAATAAAAATACTATATATTTCTTTAAAAAACACTATGTACAATTGAAGCGTAAACAAGTTTTACAAAGTACTAGTTATGCAGGTTGTAGAAAACACTTGCATAGGACAGGAAATCAGTTTAAGAAAAATTTCTGAGCCTTTAGCATTGAAGGCACTTGACTTTATACCAGTAACAGCACAACCACAAGAAATGCAGTGTTGGAGAAGATACCACCTCTTGGAAGTAAAGCTGTGGCACAGAAACAGCACATGGAGTGGGGAATCTTTGTCTTTCAGCCGCCCCGTCTCAGGGCAGGCTGCTGGGGCCGCCTGCCCGTGGAACCCAGGTGCGCAGCTGGTGTGGGGCACAACGAAGCGTCCAGAGCGCCCGAGCTCGCCTCTGAGACAGAACCCACATGAGCACGCGAACACGAGGTTATTTTCAAGACACACACGTGCAAGTCATCGTTCTACAGAAACAGCCACAGCATTATAATATTCAGAATATGGAAGATTGACACACAGTTTTGGGTTTTTTAGAGGAAAAAAAAATCAAAAGACTTGCCAACACAACAATTACATGACAGCTACTGCAATCAGACGAAAAGACAACATTTCATAAAACATTGTTCACATGAGTGTTAATGGAAAACAGTAAAATACCTTTTAGCGGTGTGTGTGGTAATTCTTTTAGTAAGATGATCTATAATGAGGTTTCAAAGTAAATTCTTAGTAGACAAAGTAAACCATTGCAGAACCGGGAATAGCACCCATCACTGCTATTTTAACAGTAATTTTCAGCAGAAACTTGAAAGTCAACTCAATTTTTTAAAAAGTCAAATAAACGTATCCCTTTAACGTGAGTTCTTAGCTGGAAACATGAATGCCTTAGAATTGCAAAATGAGTATCTTACATGTGTTTCATGAAACACATTTTCCCTACAGGGCAGATTAAACATTATGAAAAATGTATTTTGCGGAGTAGTTACTGAGAATGCTAATCCTTCACTCAAGAGCCTGACAGAGGTCACCGTGTGTCCCCTGCTGCTGCTGCATCCCTCAGCCCTTCGTACTCCGAATCACCACCTCAGTTCCAATGGACAAGTCCTGCCTATTGCTAGAACTTGAACAAGTCAAAAACAAATTCTATAAAAGACAGCAATTGTTGTAAGTTTCTGAGGAAGCAAAAAAAACAAAAACAAAAACAAAAACAAAACAAAACAAAGTGTCACTGAGTTCTTTGTAGAGTTAAATATAAAAGAACTCATTGAAAACCCTTAAAATTTAACTGGTTATCAAAATGTCAGGAGAGTTGGGGTCTAGGGACGCGTGGCTAGAAAAAGCTCCAGGGGTATGATACACGGAAAACTACTACTCAGGAGTAACCTTTGTTTTTCATGCTGCTACTTTCTCCCCCTTAGGGGCCACAGGTGACTTTGAACTTACAACAGTCACCAAAATCACAAAAATATAAGGAACAGACCAAGAGCATCGTGAAGAAAGGTGGCTCTTCATTTTCCGCTCCTGGATCTACATGGGAATTCTCCGACCCCGACACAGAGGGCACCGAAGGTGGATTGTCTGCGGCCTGATTGTCTGTGGCCTCAAGAGGAGATCTGGTGTTTTGAGATTTGGTTCTCGTGACATTTCCATGCCAAGTAAAATGCCAGTTCCTGGGGCCTAAATTTGATGGTATACCTATATATACATTTTTTTTCTGAGAACAGTCTTACGTAGACTTCACATTTATCTTAGTACAGCATCAAAAGATGAAAAGACTTTAATGCTTAGTAATAAGCATTAAAAGAGATTGAATAGATGGGTTCAAAGGCCACCTGCCCTATTCACCACCCTTCACAGACACACACAACCACGTCCCTTTACCTTCTGCAGGTGCCATCAGTCCACACTGCTGTGGAGTAAAGCAGTTTCTCTACACGCAGTTAGCCAGGTAACAGAGTAAGTCATACCTTCATAAATAAAATAAAGCTATGAATAGTGGCCACTTATTTTACAATTACATCCTGGGGATATGAAAGAATATTTAATAAACTTTCAGAAAAGTGAGTGTGTGGCATCAAGGCTCTGCGCTGCAGTTTTTAAAAAACAGGTCAAAGATGAGAAAGTACTTTCCCGCCCGAACTAACTCTGCCCAGTCTTATTTGCAGCCTCGGCTGAATTCAGAACAGAAATTTAAAATTGGATCCAAATAACGCTCATCAGCAGTGTGTAGCAAGACACACACACACGCACACACACGAAGCAATATGGCGGAATGAACAACTTTTGCTTCTGAAGAGACAGACTGAGATTGGCTTTAAAAGACACCATCCTCTATTACAAGAGTTAAACTTCCTAAAAAACAAGAATCCTATGTTGTTCTATCTTTAAAAAAAAGGAGCCTCCAAGGTGACGCGCAGCCGACTTACAGTAGATTAGTGCTGGCTCTGCAGTGGGGCCCGGCGCGCGCCGGCTCGCTCTGCGCCGACCGTGAGCAGGGGCGGGTCGGTGGGCGCCCGACGTGCCTCCCATCTTCGAGACTATTACTGTTAGGATTTTTTAAAATATCAGATTATTCCTGAGTGTATATCCACAGGGTAAAGTAGGAAAAGTCTGTAAGAGAAACTACAGTTTCAGGAGAAATCAGAGTTGTTGACACCCAATAGAAACCTATTTACTTAAAAGTGCATGTAATTCATTTATATGGTAGCTTGTAAAGGCTGCCTAGCCCTGCATAGTTTTTAGAGTGAGTGTGAGTGATTCCTAGTTATCTATATAGGCTTACATATATATATACACACACACACATACATAGGAAAGAGGCCCCCGAACAGCCTTCACGTGAGGGAATGTTCAGAAAGCCTCTTTTCTTCTAAGTGCTACGATTGTGTGTGTATGCGTGTGTAAAAATACAAAGTGAGTGCTCAAATAATGTTGAAGTGATTAAAAAACTCAAATACTAAATATATTTACATTGGAGAGTAAGGAAGAAACAGTCCTTAGCTCACACATTGCCCTTCCAAGGGAGAGAATCCTAAAGATCCCATGTGCTCAGTGGTTTAGCGGAATCCCAAACCAGCGTCCCCAGTGGAGTTCAAGTAGGACATGTAGTGTTTCACTGCAAAAAAAAAAAAAAAAAAAAAAATTCCTCTTTCTTTTCTGGTGACAAAGCATTATGCATTACGCAACAACTGTTTATGGGACACCAAAATCCAGACGCACTGAAAAACACTTAAAAGAAAACATATGCTTACGAACACCAAACGACATCCGGAAGACTGAAGCCCTTTTTGTTTTTGTGTTTTTTCCCCACAGAGAGCAAGACAACTGAAGGCAGCAAGCAGTCATTGCCCGCTCAGCCGAGAGGGACGCTCAGAATCCGAAATCCCGCAGTCTCACCCCGAAGTTACTTCCAGACTTCCGCTGCTTTATGACTCCAGAACCTGCAGTTATTCTGGCAGCGTCCATGCTGTGAGCAAAGCAGCAGCTGGAGCCTGGGTACAAAAGGCTTTACTCCTTTCTGCTGTTTACCGAACTAGAAAACTTCAGGATCCTGAAGGGGCTCCCGCTGGAGGAATGAAGACCAGCCCCAAGACCAGCCCCCAAGACTTATTTTAAAAAATGACAGTGGATTATGGAGGTTGAGCAGGGAAGATTTCTGAACTAAAACAGTGACTGAAAAGAGAGGAGCATTTTGATGTGCTGTTCTTTGGAATTTCTATAATTAAAAATAAACACAGAACTATTTCGTAAGAAAATACATCTTGGTGTGCAGTTCAATGCACTTGGAAACTGGGAGATGAAAGGTAAAATGCAAAAAAGTATGAAAATACAGTCCTTTCAATGTGGCAATAAAGTGTTTAACATACTGATATAAAATCAATACAGATAAAATAAAAGTACAAGTGCAAAAAAATTCCATCATTTGTTAAGAGAAAAAAAAGTGCCAGCCTGCTTGCTCTTAAAAATTGCTTCCCCACACAATTGTTCAAACACAAAACAGATGCAGCATTCAAAACAACCCTCTTAGCATGCCACGTCTAATAAACATGTATATACAAAAACTGGAATAAAATAACGTGAGACTAAGTTATCCGCTGGCATCGATAGGCTGGTCTCTAAGTTGTCGGGTCACATCAGGAAATGGGATGTTTCACATCTCAGGCACAGACGACGTGGAGGTTGCTCTCAGAGGGCGGACTTTTTGTAGAGGAAGTCGGGCTTGTTCGGTGACCTCCTTCCTCTGCTCATCGAATCTTCCCGTTCCAGCTCTGCGTTTCGCTGAGTTCCGTGGCCCAGAGACTCGCTGTCTGCCATTCTTCTCCCGGATCTCTCCTCTGGAGCTTCAGAGCTACATGCAGAATGTGAAGGTCTGCTAGAAGTCAGCCCAAAAGTCAAGTCCGTTTCTACTGCTGTTCGTCCCCGGACATGGGCTGGACCGCTGCCAGCACTGTCTGGGGCTGCCGAAGGAAAGTCTGCCCGCTGCGGAGGTTGCTCAACGACATCGAGGTGTATCGGCTCATTCTTCTGCCTGTGCATATGCCCGTCCGGGGAAAGTGGATACTCTCTCCTACCTTCTTCCTGCTTTTTAGGAGAGGTCTGGTAGGCTGACTTTAAGCCACCTGGTGATGCCTTATTGTGGCTATACAAGTCGGGACCAAGATACCCACCATGTGAAGGGGAAGGGGTGTGTCGGCCAGGAGCTGGAGTAGAAGGTCTGCAAGCAGCATTTGAGAAGTCATAGAAGTCTGGATATTCCTGCTGATTTTCACGAGCATCTGTTTTTTGCTCTAGCATGTGTTTCTTTCGAGAAGTGTGTATATGTCTCTGTGGAATACATGATAGATGCTGGGGAGGCCCCGGTCCTACTTCAGAAGCTGACTGGCTTAATTCTGTATCGACAGCAAGTTCTGGAAGCATCCTGTCCTTGAGGGACAGTGTGGACACGCCCATGGCGATGTCTGGCATTAGATCATTGAGCACAGGTTGCGTACACTGCAAACAGATACAGAAGCAGGGGGATTAAAAAACAAAAGGCCCACAAGTTCCTCTTTGTAAGAATGATGTTCATCGCCTTTGTCTCATTAGAAAAGTAATCCATGCTTATTTGTAAAAATGATAAAAATATAGAAAACAAAGGCAGAGCCCCCCCACCTTTAGCTTTTCAAGGTATTTTTCTGACCTTTTTTTCCCTTTGCACAATATTACTCATTTTAATAAAATGTAATGCATATAAAATTTGGTAACTAAATTTTCTTTGACATTACCAGTTAAATCACTGTAATATCCCACTGGATCAATGAGACATGACTTAATTAACCATTCTCCCACTGTTACATATTAAGGTTGTTTCCAATTGCAATCAAGATTGCAATGAGCATTCAAATACCTCTTAAGAGTTTTATTTAAGGGGTCTCCCTGGTGGCCTGGGGGTTAAATCTCAGCACTATAACCACTGAATTCGATCCCCAGCCAGGGAGCTGACCCATATGTGGCACAGCTGACCTCTCCTGCCTCGCCTGCTGCTCCCCTCAGCAGTGGATTTCAGTCAGTCTGCCTGTTCTACTCCCCACTCTGTCTCTGGTGAATGCTCTCACCTCCTGCATCTCTGGCCTACACCCCAGCTCTTCTACACAAATTTTTTTTTTTTTTAAATTAAGAGTTTTATTTAAAATATAAAACAAAATCTTTTGAATTGTAGAGCCCAGGGCTAATAGGATGGAGGTTTGGTTTATCAAACACTATCAACCTTTGCTGTTTCTTTTTTGGGAGGTGGGGGTGGGCAGCGGGGAGAGCAGGGAAGGAGGTATAGAAAGCAAAGGTCACAATTTGAACCACACCAAGGTCTACTATAGTCCATAGATTTCAAATCATATTTTAATGAAGATTTCCTGAATCTTTTGTTTTCCTCTATAATGAATGTTACTAATGGCATGTAACTGAGGAGGACTTTTATGACATCCTGCCCCAATGTATTGTAATTTATATTATATAAAACAAAATTCAATCCCTAACGCAATGCAAAATAAAGCAAAGAATTCTCCCTTCATTTACCAGCTGCTCATACTTGCTACTGTGCCCAGTCAGAGGGCTTTGATGGGCAGCCTGCCAGAGCAGGGACATGAATGAGGACCACTTTTCAGCCCCTTTTATTTTTTTTTTTAAAGATTTATTTATTTATTTACACAAGCACTGGATACAGTCAGAAGCGTGGGAGGGTGAGAGAATTCACCAGAGCCAGAATGGAGAGCAGAGCAGGCAGAGTGACGAAATACACTGCTGAGGGGAGCAGTGGGCGGCAGGAGAGGTCTGTGCAACATGTGGGACCCTCACTCTGCGGCCGGGGATCGAACAGGTGCTGCAGAGGCTGCGGGCAGCCTCCCAACCCAGCGCTCAACTGCTGCACCACCAGGTAGGCCCCCATTTTTTTTTTTACGATTTATTTATTTATGCATACAAGAGCTGGGGTACGGGCCAGATATGTGGGGGGTGAGAGGATTCACCAGAGACAGAGTGGGGAACAGAACAGACAGACTGCCTGCCTGAAACACACTGCTGAGGGGAGCAGCGAGGGAGACAGGAGAGGTCAGCCGCGCCATGTGGGTTGCTCCCTGGCTGGGGATCGAACTCGTGCTGCAGAGGCTGCGGATTGCTTCATAGTGTGGTACTTAACCCCTTGCGCCACCATGGAGGTCCCTCAGCCCATTTTTTGAATGGGGTTGTCTCCTCCCTTCTTGTTCCGACTGTTATTCTCAGTTCCAAGTAACCTGCCATTCAAAGCATTTGGGAGAACTGAACTGAAGTCAGGAAGAGCTCCTAGACATGAGCTTGAGTAGAACATTATGAAACTGGTGTCATCCAGTGACCTTGCCTTTCCCCAAAACCTGTGAATAAACTTACAGGTAAGACACTTAACTTCTCGCACCAAGTACACCTCTAGTCTCTCTAGTCTCTCTTCCCTGTCCTTCCGCATTCACCTACACCAGGCATTTCTTTCTCTTTCCATGTCCCTCAGGTCCATGCCTCAGCTTGTTAGTAACTTCTGGGCACTGCTGAGTCCAGCAGGGCTCCTGGGGCCAGGGACTCACTTCTAACATTCCACCAACTTTTTATTTTAGGTAAGTTATTGAAGTTCCAACCTACCACTTGTTTCTCAACTGCTGCTGCTGTGGAGGCAGCGGCAGCGGCAGCAGCAGCTACCGTCTGTCTCCCCAGGCCTGTGGTGTTGGTACAATCAGGTGCTGCTGCTTTAACACCTGGCAGATAGACGGGAGGGGGGCCAGCTTTAGGAGCGGTTCTGGAGTGAAACAGCGAGTGATTGCAGGGATAAGAAAACGAACGTGAAGGATGCTGATTGGGAGGTCTCTGTTTCCAGCCTGCTTTGAGCTGATTGTGGATTGGAGTAGCTGGGGGGTGGTATGGAGGTGGTGGAGGCGGCAAGGGTGGATGGAAGGCCACAAAAGAGTCCAGATCTGTAAACATGGTTTCCGCAGTAGGGGTACTGTTAACTCGACATCTCCCAGACTGTCTCATTGTCAAGAGCGGACTTTCATCCCCAAAGCGTTCATCAGGAAAGAACTTGTGAGGATTCTAGGATTAAAAGCAAAAAAGGTAATTGTTAAGATTTCCTAGATGGAAATTCACAGGCTGAGTTAAATGAGTCCTGAAGAAAACCACATTCAGCAGGAGCAGAAAGCAAACCATACCAAGAAAAAATGACCTTGATAACAGTGCACTAGGGCAGCGTGCAGTCTACATTGCCTGAGGGCGCCATCACAGAGAGCACTTACCTGAATATTCCAGCAAGCAGGTCAATAATCTCTTGCAAGAGATTACATGTTAATGCAAATAATAATAATAGTAATAATAAACCTAACCTTTGTTAAGAAAATTAAATTACCATTAAACACCAAAGGAGGAAAAAAGCACGTAATGGCATCCTCCCAGAGTTCTCTGACAAAGCATGTGTTCATTCTTTGTCTGAAATAAAAGGAAAATATGATTCCCTACCTATTACAGATAACCATTTGATTAACATTTTAGTAAACATTATTGGCAATACTTAAATTACAAAACTTTAATAAAATTTAAGATACAGTTCAGAATGGCAAAGAGAACAGAAATAAGTAGAAAATAAGACCATTTTAGGGATGGAAATCCTAGCAAAACTGAACATCAGAGACCCACAAATGGCCTTCTTCCTACAACCAGTGCAGCTCTCAGGCTAATGGTGTGGGTGTTGAAGCGACAAGAAAACACTTCAATCACTCAACGAGATGAAATATTTATTTTAGGGTCTGATTTAGTGGCTGTGAGCAGAGTACTTTGTACTTTCTACCTCTGTTTCAAAACCAATGCTATTTATTGCATTATGTACCTAATAATTACTGGAAATGTGGTTTTATTTTTTTCCGCTAGCTAAAAAAACCACTCATTCCTTGATTTTTAAGCTCACAGGATTTAAAACCACAGCCAAAATTTCTTGAAATAAGGGGAAGGAGACGTGCACCTGGAAGTAGTATTAGTAGGCCAACCTGGAAATGCAGCCACCAGACCAGGGAAGAAAGAAAGGCATGGAGGGGCAGGATTTTATATTTTCTCTTTTACCCTCTTGGGCACACACACCATGAACTTCAGCATCACCACTGGCAAGGGACACAGCTGTTGTGAGTTATATTCAGCAACTCTTACCTCCACAATAATCCATTTACAGGTAAGGGAGCTGACTGACGCTCCAGAGTCACTAGGTGACTTGCTCAAAGCCTACTAGCTGACCAGCAGCTGAGCCAGAAGAGACCCAGCTCTCATGGGAAGGGTGGGGAGAAGGAATGGACACTTTCAGGTGATCCGAGAAGCCAGAGGCTGTGCAAGGGTTAAGTACGCGCTCAGAGGGCTCCTTGGGAGGACTGAAATATCGCCTGTGCGATGATCAAGATTAAGGTCCCCTATTTAAATAATGGAAAGCTTTTCTTACCTGCAAGAGCTCTGCAGCAGCATCTGCGAGACCAAACTCTCTCAGCACTCGAATCTGAATTTCATAGCTGACGGTGGCCCCTTCACCGCAGTTCAGAGCGTAGGCTCTCTGCACCTGCTCGGTGTGTCGGAGTTCCTGCAGGCGTCTCACCATGTCTTTCATAATGAGGAGACGAGGAACTGCGGGAAGAAAAAAAGTGTGGAGGCAAAATACCTGAGTACACAAAAGACGTCCACTGCGCACAGGGGAAAAAGCATGTGTTTTCTTACACATTTCTTGCAGATACTTTAGCTTCCTGGCACCACACTCATTTATATACTTCCGGTTATTTGTCAAGGTAGGAAAATTTCACTGTGCCCAAATGGCTCTTGATCATCCCAAAGAACTCCTAAGCTGTATTAGGTTAGTACTAGCTGAAATAAGATTTTCCTTACATATATTCCCTCTGAATCTCAGGATATTTTGTAAGTCCTTTAAACACAGTGTTTTAAATTTAAGTATTTTTTTGAGTCCTGACTGCAGCGGAGAGTGGGCTCAGTTATTAGGGTACTCAAAGAGCTCTGGTTTTAGTGACATAAACTAAGAAAACCAGTCCAGTAAAGGGCCATCAGTGGTTATGGAGAGAAATACATGAAGGAAGCTTCTGGGATTCAGAGGAATGGGCTCCCAACCCAACTGCAGGCAGGGAGGGTGGCTTCCGACACAGGGTGAAGCCTGAGACTTGATGAACAAGGGGAGCAGAGGCAGGCACAGCACAGTGAAGGCTCTCTGAGAAGGATCGGCCACGTGCCAAAATGTCAAGTGTGAGACAACCTGGCACAAGCTGGTACAGCTAATAAAACGGAGGGTTCAAAGGTATAAACAAGAAGAGTATTGAGAGAGGTTAGAAAGATGGGTTAGGGCAGATTATGAAGGACCCAGTATGTCATGGTAAGGAATTTATATGGTCTCCCGTACAGCACAGGCAATGCCTGTGCAGGGGAAGGACAGGTCAGAGCTATGATGTGGGACTATACCCTGAGGCTTGTGTAAGGCAGGGGTGGGCAGAATGGCCTATCGAATAATAAATCACGTCTGCCACTTGTTTTCATAAGTCAAGTTTTACTGGCACCCAGCCATGCCCACTTGTTTAGGTATCAGCCATGCTGAATTGGCAGGGCTGAAGTGCTGCACAAAGCCTAAAATATTTGCTGTATCGAGCCCTTCACAGAAAGAGTTTGCTGATCCCTGATACAAAGGCCAGAATGGGAGTAAGGCGGGAGAGAGGAACAGGAACCTGGACAAGGGTGTGGCCAAGGGCTGGGGAAGAAGGGACAAATCTATACAAACCTATGAACCAAACTGAATTGCGTGGTCATTGATTATTACTTTTGGGAAGGGGGTTGTTGAATGCTTACTTTGTGCCGGGCAACTCCCACGCATGTACTCACGGCACTTCCTTAAATCTTGACAGCCACCTTAGAAAGGAGATACCCCCCACTGCACAGACAAGGAAATGAAAGCTCAGGGAAGCAAACAGTTTGTGGAATCACACAAATCAAGTGGCAGAACCAGGATTAAGAAACCAGGCATCTTCGCTAGTCTGGCACAGAGCTTTTCATTAGTGTGGTGGGCACAGAAAAGAAAGAATCAGGATGACACCAGACAGGGCCATGTCTCATTAGTTAAGCAACAGGAAAGACAAGTCATCTTTTTGAGTATATTTAACTGTAAGTGTCTTTGGGCTTTAGAGAGTCAATTCTAAGATTAAATTTTCTTGCTATTCAATTGTATTAACTCAAGCTTATAAAAACTGTGCTAATTACCACAGCTCCAAAATTTGCACACATCAGCTACAGAAACATTTCTTTGTATTATTATATAATGTATACTTTATTTTTTTGACTAATTTTTTATTTTTTATTTAATTTTCTTATTTATATATTTTTTACTCCTTCTTTCCTCCCTCTCTCCCTCCTTTTCTTTCTGCATACAAGAACTGGGGTACAGGCCAGAGGTGTGGGGGGAGGGGGTGAAAGGATTCACCAGAGACAGATTTGGGAACAGAACAGGCAGACTGACTGAAGTACACTGCTGAGGGGAGCAGCGGGGAGACAGGAGAGGTCTGCTGCGCCACGTGGGCAGCTCCCCCGGCTGGGGATCGAACTCGGTGCTGCAGTGGGTGCGGATAGCTTCACAGGTTGTGTCTTAACCCCTTGCACCACCAAGGAGGCCTTCATTGTTCATTTTTAAACAATGTTTGCTTTGCCTCCCACCCTCAGGTGTGGTGCCCATAATGTTTGCTTTGCCTCCCACCCTCAGGTGTGGTGCCCATAGAATTTCCTTCACCAATGCGCCCCTGCACCATCACCACAGCCCCCTGTGCTCCTCCCTCCCTCCCTCTGATCCCTCTCCCTCCTCCTCCCTCACAGGATGTCTCTGGCTTATAATTGTCTGTTTGCAATGTATACATTAAATAAATGTGTAGTGGCCAAATCTGAGAAGGCAACAATTGATCAGATGGTCCCAGAATAAAATGTACGCACTTAATTAAAAATTCTACCATTATATCTTTTATTTATCCTTAATTGGAACAGACATTTAAAAGCAGATAGTGAATAGCATCATTTCTAGCAATCCTCCAGTTGGCTTATTATTTTTAATCTTACAGTGTTACATGGCAAGAGCTATACAATTCCTGATGCTCAGATCACTATTGATTTTCTTACCTTAGAAACTGACACCAGACACTTTTGTTAAAGTGCTCAGAAGGTTTTGGACGTAACAGTATGTGGTTAATTTCCTCAGTCATAAGACAAAAGCCTTCACTCTAATAAAATTCACAGAGCAGATCTTAGGAAACTGATTAACTAGGGACTAATGGTGATAACATTTTGGGGGGCATATGTAGCCTCAAAGATGTTACATTTATAGGGCCTCCCCGGTGGTGCAGCGGTTGAGCGCTGGGTTGCAAAGCTGCCTGCAGCCTCTGCAGCGCCGGTTCGATCCCCGGCCACCGGGCGAGGCTCCCACATGGCGCGCAGACCTCTCCTGCCGCCCGCTGCTCCCCTCAGCAGTGTACTTCATCACTCTGCCTGCTCTACTCTCCACTCTGGCTCTGGTGAATTCTCTCACCCTCCCGCGCCTCTGACTGTACCCAGTGCTTGTATAAATAAATAAATAAATCTTTAAAAAAAAAAAAAAAAAAAAAAAAAAAGGGCCTCCCCGGTGGCGCAGCGGTTGAGCGCTGGGTTGCGAAGCTGCCTGCAGCCTCTGCTGCACCGGTTCGATCCCCGGCTGCTCCCCGGCCACCGGAGGAGGGTCCCACATGGCGCGCGGGCCTCTCCTGCCGCCCGCTGCTCCCCTCAGCAGTGTGCTTCGGTCCCTCTGCCTGCTCTGCTCCCCGCTCTGGCTCTGGTGAATTCTCTCACCCTCCCGCGCTTCTGACTGTACCCAGTGCTTGCATAAATAAATAAATAAATAAATAAATAAATAAATAAATAAATAAATAAAATAAATCTTTAAAAAAAAAAAAAAAAAAAGATGTTACATTTATAATACTATCCCCAAAGGGTCTTACAATGCAAAATATTCTATGCTGATAATAAATCAGAATTCCTCTAAATCAGTGGTGCTCAACAGGAGGTGATTTTTGTTTCTTTGGGCACTTAGTTATGTCCAGAAGCATCAAAATGTTTCTAAAAGGTTGTCACAACGGGTTGTGTTTGTATTCAAGCTTCTGGCACCCAGTGAGTCCAGGCCAGCAGTCTGTGAAAAGCTACAATGCACAAGACAGTTCCCCCCAAAGAGGCTAATCTATTCCTAAATGTCAAGAGGGCCAAGATTGAGCAGCACTGGAATAAACGGTAACTGAAAAACTGTACACATTTGCTAAAGCAAAATAAAACAAAACTTAGCTTGTAAGTATATATTCTTTAAGAAGAACAATGCACAATGGGTAGTGGAGAGTGGGGAGAAAATCAGCATATCTAAAGGTAAAACACAATCAGATTCTTCATTTAAATACAAATGCCTTACCTGGAATTTCATTGGCTACCACTGAAGGAGGGCTGGACTGGTTACTGCTGATCTGCTGGTGGCTGATCATGTGACAGCACTGGGGCACGGCATTACTGACCATGTAAAGCGTGTCTGGCACATTAGACATTCTAACCATTCGCAAACGTACAAGATCTGTTTGTTCCACCATCATCTCGTCTAGCACTGACTAAAATAACAATTCAGTATTAACAGAATTGGTCAACCCTTGATCTCTGTTAAATCACATTTGAAATAGATTATTATCATCATATAAAAAGAGAATTAATTTGCTCTTTCCAACATATAAAGTTTAAAATTAGCGATGAAAGGAGAAAGTACTGCAACCTCTTTAATTTTTAAGGAATCTTTTGGGACCATTTTTGAAGGAAACAATTATTTTTGACAACTTTGTTTTACTAATATATTTGAAATTTGGAGGGATATAAAATTACTCATAAATAAATTGTATATAAAATTACTATAAAGAAAATGTTTACATGGACTAATTATAAGATCCAACAAGTGCTCAAAATACATAATATTAAACACTGATATTAAATTCAACAGATTCTATCTCCAAACTGCAGCATGGGTAAAAATGACACAATATATAAAAATTGACTGGGAACAATTATCTACTTAAGCTTATGTTCAGCGATCTGAGGAACAGGGAAGTTCTAAGATGACTACTAGATTAGGTTACTGCTGTGTGAGACAGAGAGGATGGAGACAGTAGGTCTAGTTTATTACTGACCTTTTATGGCCAGACTTAACCTTTTGTAAAGGTCTCAGCTACCTGAGTGACTTTATGCACTGAACTTATTTCCAAAAGACCAGACCTAATCTTTCTGCTTTTCCCATGTTTTAGAACCATTTAAAATATCAACTTCTCAACAAAAGTTAGCCTATCATCCTTGTCAATAAAATAAACTTCTCACAATCCTTTCATACATCTTAAACTAGAGACCTCTGATAAAAACAAGAAAAGTATTAAGAAAACTTAATTAAAAACCCAAATATTGCTCTGTCTGTTAATTTATATCAAAAAGTTTAAGTGATTTCTGACTTTCAAAGACTGTCAGTTCCTCAAAAGGCCACCTCCATAGTTTCTTATGGCTGAATTCAGGTAATAAAATTTACAGTGTTTCATTTTCACATTATTCACATTACCTTCTCGGAAAGTTCTTTGTACTATAACACATAATGCCAACTACTTAACAGACCTGAAATTTTGTCTAAATTTATGTACTTATTCTAAAACTAAACACAATTTCCAAAAATTAGCCAATTACAGAAACAAGATTACGAGAAATCATGGCATTAGTTTACTTTACAAAGAAAGACAAAATATTTACAATCTTCTCAGAACACTTTCCCCATCTTGCAGATCACAAAACCACAGCATTTCAGTAAAAAGAAAAAAAAAAATTCAAATTAATTTGCAAGGCTACTAAAATGATAAAAGTTCAGTTTAACATGACCTAAGTTATAAAAATATGCTTGATAATTAAACATTTCAGAAAACTAGGCTGTTGAGAAACTGAACTAGAATTTACTTTCATTTCCCTTTTATTGGACATTGAGGCTATTTCCAAATATTTAAATAATACTAAGATAAATATCTTTCTGTTTATGGTTGGGAAGAAAGCAGCCTAGTATCTTGAAATGGTTTTCATTACCTTGGCTTCTTCCACGTAGGGCGAGAACAGACGAGGACGAACGTAAATTCCGGCATTCTTTTGTCGTAACCAGGCGTTCGACTTTCCACCTTCTGATGTAGGAAGCATATCTGATGGAGGGGTACTAATCAAGCCTCTTTTCATCTTGGGGGAAAAAAAATATATTTTTGATAAACTAGAGATTTGTGTAGCAAGACAAACTACTAACATAAAAATAATTATAACTATCAAAATGCCCTGACTTCACCTTCTAAATACGTACTTAGGATATACGTGAAATATAAAAATATTTTAAATGTTTAATAAAAAGAATTCAGCAATAAAAAAGTACTATAATTTCCCATTTTTCTCTAAATAGAGAAGTTGTGCTTTTTTTTTTTTATTATATTTTTTCCTTTTCTTATATCCTTGTTCTCAGAGCCTCAGGTGCAGTCCCCAGTTCTCCCACCACCACAGCAGGTGTGAGCCATCCCCGCAGCCCCTGGTGCTCTTCCCTCTCTTCTTCTGACCCCTCCCTCCCTGGATGTTTACTTTAAATCTATGGTCAGTTCACAAGTTCTGTCTTTTTAAATAGCTGAGGTTTTTAAAGTAAGAGCTATATTAATTAAAAATGTAATGAAGTAGACTAACTTTTTGAACTCTTAAACAAAAATCAATTTTCATTTCCCCGTACTCATCTAGCAACTAATTCCATCCTCACTTGGCTTCCCTTTGCCGCCCCCCCAAGACAAAACAAGAACATCCTGGGCCAGGCTGCTGTCTACAGTAAAGGGATATAGGCCTTCTGCACAGGGCAGGGGCAATAGGGGAGGCAGACCTGGCTCAAAACCTTACTCAAAAATGTGTGATATACACACTTTCTTTGACCTGCATCTCCCTGGAAGGGCTCCTGGATGCCCCTGGAGATGGGGCTCTACACAACTAACTAACCAACCTGCTGGCCAGTTTCCTTGCTTGTACCAGGAAAATATAAATCAAGAACCTACAGCTCATAAAGTGCTTATGAGGATTAAATGAAGGTGAGGCACAGTGCTGAGAGAGAGTATTATGGTCATGCCCTTGTTAGTAAACTTACCATGTATTTGGAAAGGAATTAAGAGTAGAGGTTAATATTTTCTAAGACTGCTAAACAAATTCTAAAATATATTTTCTAAACCAAATTCAGAATTCAATTTGATTTGGGGCCTCAAGTTTTAAACACAACCAGTTTCTCCAATATTACTGTTAAATACAGTAAATGTCTAACTGCAGCATTAGTTAAAATTGTTTTTAACTAATGTTATATATTATTTAGAAAGAGAAAATGTAATAATGTTGATGTATATTTCGTATAGTCTTCTTCAAATTAATTTTTACTTTATTCTAGAATACATAAGTCTACATATTTTATACCCTTCTTTTAAAAAATATATTTCATCATTAGCATTTTCCATGTTGTAATTATTAGTCTTTATAACTACTGTTTAGGGCAGCAAAACACTCTGGTGAATAACCGTACCATGATGTACTTTTATTTTCCTCGTTATTAGATATTTAGGTTATTTCCAAATACATAATGACAATGCTACCAAAACACTCGCTATCCTACTCCTATGGAGCAGTACTATTATTTTAAAAACTACTGGTTAATGGGTAATAAATGATAGATTACCATTTTATTTTGCTCTTTGGGGTGTGTGTGATTTTAGTGAGACTGGACATTGTTTCTAATCAGTGAGTCCATATTTAATTGTTTTCTTCTAGTATTCCCATCTTCAATTTAGTATTTAATTCTTCAGTCTAGCAGGGATGCAGCTTGCATGCAAGCGGAATGAGGGTTTACCTTTCAACATGTCTTTCCTTCCCCACCAACATTCAGTGTAGGACTACAATAATTTGCAAAAACGTGTTACCGTATGTTTGATTCTTAATTACTGGAATCTCTTGTCTGGGTTGTTGTCTTGTCTGTTATGCTAGTATCACAGATAAAATAGTATTCTAAAATATATTTTATATTCTGGAAGTTATCCTTCCTTCATTACGTTCTTTTTGAAGCACTTGAAAAAAATTCTTATCAGTTTTTTCCAGATTCCAAATATTAAACTTTTATGTTTCTGTGCAACTGAAAAAACCACCATGGTGTGTTTAAGATTAAAGTTATAAACCAATTTGTGAAGAAATTTTTATAACACTAATATGAACAATTATACGTGTTTTAAATTTGGCTTTAAAATTCATTCTTCCAGGCCTCCCCCGATGGCGCAGTGATTGAGCACTGGGCTGTGAAGCTGCCCGCAGCCTCGGCAGTGCCGGTTTGATCCCCGGCTGCCGGCGAGGGTCCCACATGGCGCGCAGACCTCTCCTGTCATGCCCGCTGCTCCCCTCAGCAGTGTATTTCGGTCCATCTGCCTGTTCTGTTCCCCACTCTGGCTCTGGTGAATTCTCTCACCAACCCCCCACCCCGACACTTCTTAACTGTACCAAGTGCTTGTATAAATAAATCTTAAAAAAAAAAAAAAATTCATTCTTCCTTTTTTACATTGAACCAATATCCCTCTCTCCTGTTCTAATTTATTGGTGTTCTTGAATAGTCTCCAAAGGTAATTTCTACCTTTTCTTTTGTGAATAAGGATCTATACTGATAAATGGCTGAATGAACTCCGCTAGAAACCATCCCCTGGGAAATGTGAGACATGCGCAACTCTCATCCACTAAACAATTATTGGCGCCACATGCCAGATGCTGGGAGCACAGTCTGATGCAAAACAGACATCGGCCTCTGTCCTCATGGAATTTATAGATTCGCAACATTCTGTAAGTAACAAAGTATTTACAATGATAACAAAGAAAGGCACTTACTGCATCACTTAGGACTTCACTGTTTATTGGTAAGATGTGGTCCATTCGCACAAAAGGTAAAAGAGAAGAAAGAATCTCTCTAAGCTCTTCGACATCCAGGTCTCGCCTTTTGACACCTCTTTTGTTCACACTGTGCGCAGTGCCACTCAGTAAGTTTGGCTCTAGGAGACAGAAAATGGTAAGTCTACCAAATCCAAATTCTCACAGAAAGTTTCTTTCTTCTCCATATACTTGCAGTAATACTCTTCATACTGATGAACATCTGCTTTCAAAAGGGTTATAAATAATTTGTATGTCTCAAGTTTACTTAATAGAAATGATTGTAAACAAAGAAAAAGCCTGGTATCAACAGTACAATGACATTCTTTAGAACTGTTCTGCACTAAAGAATAAAGGATTCTTTCCCAATACTAATTCAAAGGAGAAAAGATGACAACTGACTGAAATCTAGTCAGACCTAGAGCTTTTTCTTAATATTTCTCACTTTTTTTTGGCCTCCCTGGTGGCGCAGCGGGTTGAGCGCAGTGCTGTGAAGCTGTCAGCATCCTCCACAACACCGATTTGATTCCCGCCCAGAAGATTCCCACATGGTGCGGCAGACCACTCCTGTCTCGCCTGCTGCTCCCCTCAGCAGTGTATTTCGGTCCTTCTGCCTGTTCTGCTCCCTGCTCTGTCTCTGGTGGATTCTCTCACCCTCCCGTGCCTCTGGCCAGTATTCCAGTGCTTGTATAAATAAATCAATCTTTAAAAAAAATATTTCTCACTTTTGTGACCAGTTTTCAGTACAATAAGGGCATCACATGCCAAATGCTGTTTCTGGCTCTGGTAGGTTGCTAGGATATTATTTTTGAGAAACTAAGTTTGTGGTTGGAATCATTTAAAAGAAAATCATTCATGTAGGAAAATATTTTACTTCAGCCTTACTAAGAACTAATTCCATACTTAACAAGATATTACTTTCAAATTTTTTTTTTCCCCCCTAACGTAGCGGCATCTTGTTTTCAAATGAATTCTTAATCAAATCCCCAAACACGTAACAGGAAAGGGAAGAACCCTTATGTATGGAGGGGATCGAAACAAGGTGTGGGCTGGCTCACTTATCTTCCTGCTCATCTCTGTGGAAGAGCATTCCATTTTAACTAAATCTGAAAACTATTTTTTAAGTGAAATGTTCTCAAGTATAGTCATCTGTCCAAAATAATAGATATTTCATCATTACCAACCTATATCAATGAACAAGTCTATGGTCTAATAATGCAATGTTATATACAATTAATTCTTGTTATCTGGGATAGTTCTGTAGTATCACTTCAATTTAGTGAATACTGAGCCACTTGCCCCTAAGGGAAACACTAGTTAGGTTCCTAAGAGCCATTAGTCACATTTTTGTCAACTGATTTAAGATATGACCTTATTTTATGTGTTTCAATTTAAACACACCATACTAATAACACATGTGGACTCATTCACCTGAGGTCACAGTAAACAGTACTGTAACTCCTGTCTCAGTGGAGCTTTATCTAACACATATTTTTTCCACAAGACACACTCCCTTCTTGCACTTAGCAACACTAGTCAGCACTAACATTATGCTTTTTAAGCACCCCCAAACCTCATAAAAACATTACACCATATAGAATTTGGAAAGGGCACTTGTGTACAGTATGAAGGCAGAGTATTACCTTGTTCCACTATTAGCTGGGAATGTGTGATGGGATTCAAACTCGTGTCACTCTAAGTATGACTATAAAAGTGCCATGACTACTGGTTTTGGGGTTACAAATAAATTTTAGCAAGTACAAGAACTCATTAATACAGAAACTCGGAAGGTGGAGAACAGACTATATACTGGTGTTTGAAAAACACTCGAAATTAATAGTGGTTTTTATGTAAAAAAATTTCAATTTTCAGAACTTCTAAAGTCTATTGCAGGACACAGAGAAATAAACTATTTAATTTTTCTAATTAAAACATTTTTATTTGGATTTATTATACAGAAGAACATAATAATCTGTGAAGGAAGGCGCACAGGCATATGGACTAACCATAGGCATAAACACTGATAGAGAATCAGACTCAGAAGCTTCTAAGGTTAAAAGCCCACCTCCTACATAAGCTGCTTCCATCTCATCTGCTGTAAACCCAACTGGAAGTCATTCAAAAGTATTATTTCTCCTTTACCTTCCACAAAATTTTAAAATAAAAAACAGACAAGCTTTTTTGGGTGTGGTCATTCATTTTTACATCAAGGTAAAACTCAGATAACAAAACCGACTATGTTACATTTTCAGCATTCTGAAGTGTAAGACCCAGCGGCGTCGGCACATCACAACGGTGTGGGCACGTGGCCACCATCTTTTGTAGAACACTTCCATCAACAGTGTACTTTTATGGAACTCGAATCATTATATGAAAAATTTCCTTCTAATACTTTCATAAATAATCAACATATATTTATGTACATATAAAGATAACATGAAAAGTCTCCTATGAAAGTTGTAATATGAAATTTTCTGGTATATTTATTTAAAGCATATTCTCTCCAATATAGGATTTTGCCAGTTGTAAAATTTTCTCTTTCTATGAGCAGGCTTTCCTGGTCATTGTCAAGACTGATGTGCAGTGTGCATTTCAATAAACTTCTGGGAAAGACTTGGAGTACAAGCTAAGTTTTTGAGCTTACCTCTGTCTGCTATTCTTTTCATCAACTGATGCTCGCCCCACTTAATCAGATATTTAAGGATATCTTGTTCACTTGCCTATAATAAAAACAGGTTTATATTTATTTTCGTGAAATAGATGAGTGATTATTTTCATTATTGACTCTTCCTAGGTCATGTCAATGCTAGATACAACTTAGCAGGTTGACTGTATGGTTGTTAGAAATGTTTGTGTTAAAGCTGTGGCCCCATCAACAACAAATACACAAGAATGAATTACATGCGTTTTGCCCAGTACTCTCACTCCTGACTAAAGTAAACCTTTCATTCTTAACTTCTATCTTTATTTTTTCATTATCCTGTTCTCTTTAGCTATTTAAACTTATTTTATCTTACAATATCTATATGGTTTCTCTACAGCTGCCTAAAATTCTTTTGGGGAGAAGATGGAGATAAGCAGAACAAAGGAGAGACTACTCTCTCCTTCAAGAACAGAAAAAAATACTCTGGTAACATGTTTTGGCAAAAGAGACTACAATCTCCATAGGTGTGCTACTGAGTGGTGAGGGGCCGTTCAAGCACCATCTATGAAATGGCAATGTGCCCCTCAATTCTCTGCACTTAAAAATCTTAGAGCAAATGTAGGCTGCACTCCAAGTGTTTTTACTTTCTAAGGAGAAATGTAAAGTTTCTAAAGACAATAATCGAAGAAAATGGACGAAACCTGACTCCCACAATGCAAGGTCTGGATCGAGACAGTGAAATACAGTTAACAGACACAGATCTTCAGTAAGTCAAATCCAATTATGATAACACGGGTACTGCAATCAAAGCACAGGAAAAGCATAGATGCTAAGTGCCTCATTTAATTCTTCACTGCATTTGTGAGATAAAAGTCTTTTGTAATTTTTCTAGTACAAATACAAAGAAGTAGGAAATGACTCAATGGGTTCATGTCCTTACAGCATTCAAACTACTGTGTAGTTCTATAGTTCAGCATAATACTCACACAGTCAATTCAAAAACACAATATTCAGCTTAAACATACTTTGCAAGTATTTTTTTTGCAATATTTTTAAACTTACTATTAAATTACTAAATCAGACTCACATAAGTCAAAATGCAAAATTTGCTAAAAAAAAAAAATTCTTCTGATTAAAAATAAGGAATTGAAGACATTGTTACAGTTTGCAGGACACATACACCAAGCTTTTTACAAGCAGCTGAGTTGATCAGAAATTGAATACTGTTCTTTGTGCTGCTAAAGCCACTGTCTACAATCTAAGTATCTGATACTCTACCAAAAATAAAAAACTGTTAGAGTGAATCTACTATTAATGGAAGTCAAGAAAATGACTGTTGGGATATGCTGCTGAGTGTGCCTACTGTCTTAACCCCTTTGGTGACACAGGTTAGGATCTGGCTATCTACAACGTTGAGTCACAGCAGCAGTGTGCATGAAGGGCCAGAGAGCCCTTCAACAGAAGCTTTTGTTGTAAAAATCTGAAGAGGGGGGAAGGGATTGGATCACTGTAGATGGGAGAACAATAGAGTACAGATGGGTTTCCTGAGGCACATATGAATGACAATGAGTTTCTGAGGTGTATAAATGATTACCTGTAGGTAGTCAGACTGGATAGCAGTAAGCAGATGGTCTTTGCTGAGTTCATAAAAAACATCCGAAGTCATGACCTGGGAAAATTCCTCACAGAGGAAATGTAAAGCTTGTCGGTGCACCCATTTAGAGCCATATGGGTGCGAGCTCCACTTGAGGATGGCAATTAAGGTATCTAAAGAGATGCTCTCAGCAATGATATCCTCACAGCCTAAAAGAGAAGGCAAATACTTCTTGAGATTAATCATAAATACCACTTACTGAACATTTGTGTGTTAGGTACTATACTTAAAAGCAGCAATCGTAAAAAAAAGAACTCAAGGAGATAAATAAAATCTCATGGAATTCACCAAGACCTGGTGGGAAGGGGTCACAAAAGGTAACTACTGACTAGGACATCTATAGGAAATTTGCTGTTCTAGAGACAGAGCCACAGAAAAAGGCAGAGTCCTCACAATCGTTTAAGAAAATAAGCATTTATGTACATATCTAACAATTTGAGTAAGACACCACAGTGGAGAGTACTGGGTCACAGAGGAAAGAAGAGTGGGAGAAATGTGGACTTGGGAACTGGTCAGTCAGAGGAAGGATCCAGACGAGACTTGACTAACAAAAGAATCCACACCTGAGATGAGTGGTGGGCATCTTCTACAAACTATGATGACGCGTCCTCTATATTTTTCTTATTAAAACAAAAAATCTTTTGCACTGTTGATAGTTTAATCCCTCTGGATACAGACAAGCTGTTACAGCTTTATGCTCAGTTGGGATTAATTCTAGTTAGCTGAAAAGAAATAAGTGGCTTATGTGAAAAGAATCGGGAGCCACTGAAAGGAATTACAGCACCTTAAGAGCTCAAAAAGAAGAAAATTTGAGAACAGTCAGCTATTTTCCTTGGGAAAGATCATTTCAAATAATAAAGATAAAATCTGAGTGCCAAAGACTGGAAGGGAAAATGGCCACTCCAACTAAATTCTTCATAACTAAGTTCCTTATAAAATAAAAAAGGATCTTGATAATATGCAAAAATAGAGACACATTTAAATACACCACCAACAACCAAAAATGTATCTAAACAGGCTGCCTTCTAGTGAGCTTGGAGATTTAAAAGACACAGTCTTCAGAGAGGACATGGTCGACTCAAGGGACTCCCAAATTTCAGTGACTGGGAACCCATGAAGGGGAAATGAGAGAGGGGGGAATTCCATTACAGGTGATGTAATGGGGTCACTGGCAGCCAATACTGCCTGTAAAGGAGTAATGCCTCATTCTCTTTTCTCATATGGTAGCAGAAAAGGAGAATATTAGAAAATTATGCAACCTGATTTTTGTAAAACCTGTAACAAAATACTTCCTGGTATCTCTAGACTGTTACTCACAAGACAGGGACTGCTGTCTTCGTAGCATTTCTAGCCCCTCCTCGCATATGGTAGGAGCTAACTAAGAAGTTGCTGATGTACAAAGGAAATCTCTGCAATAAGACAGAGATGGAGACGGGTGACAAAACAGAGGTCCACAAAACCATTCAGCAGCAGCAATGACGAACGCACGGGCTTGGGAGCAGGGTGGTGTCTGTTTTTGCACCAAGAACTTGAAGGAAGATGTGGAAAGTATGTTTCAGAATCTCCAGATGGCCTCAAACTGGGAAACACAGTGAGAGCACTCCTGGTAACAGAATCGTAACTGGCTAAAAAGATGGGTGGAAATGAAGAACGATAGCTAGGAAGATCAGAAAGTTCTACATTTACAGAAAGGAAAATCAACTGCACAGTAGACGAGAGGGCAGAGCAGCTTAACTGCCACCTGTGTAGCAATCCCTGTGTATTTTAACTGAGTGGCTGCAGAACGCGACAAGACTGCTATAAAGCTGAAGAAATCTCAGGCTCTTCAGAGAGCACAGAGTCCTAGTCACAGGAACAATGCTGCACTGCTCTCCCAGGGTGCGGTGCTCTGCTCTGGGCCCTGTGTTTCCATGAGGCAAGGACAAAGCTCCAGAATTCTCAGAGAAGGGCAAAAGAACAGTAGAGAGCTTGAGACTTGTCACAGGACAGAAACTCTGAGCAGGCAAGATTATCTGACTTAAGAGAAGACTGAGGAGAGCTCTAAGAGCTATTGCCAAGTGTCTGATGCACCGTCATGAGGAAGAGGAGAAAATGGTTGATTTCCCTGTGGTTCCAAGGGCAGGTCCTGGGAAACAAATGGATGTTAAAAGAAGGGAGATTTTGAGTCAAAATTAAGAAATTTCTAACAATTAGAATTATTTTCCACTCCTCAAAAAAAAGGACCCCTCCAGAAAATGTAGGAACAGTGACTCACCACGTGAGGGGGAGAGCCGGAGTATGGAGAGGGAACCTCATGGGCTCACACTGGGTGTGGAACCAAGGTCAGACACTATCCAAGCTGCTTGTTTCACAAAGATACTAGTTTTGGAAAACTGGTAAGAGAGCTATTTAATCGGAGTAATCTAAAGATTATTCAATCTAAGCATTAAAATGGGATCCTTCACTGCAAGTGAATGACATCCAGAGGCATGAATGTGTGTTGATGAGACGTGTGAAGCACGGATGAGTTCGGAAGAGCTCTCGGACTTCACAGTGAGCCTTGAATGCCAAGCTAGGAGAACAGGCCTCACCCAGGAGCCAGGAGAGGACTCTGTCAGCATGCTGCGTCAAAGCAGGAACTGGAGTAGAGGTGAGTGGGATGAGCCAATCTACTGAGAAAGGCAATCTGATGAGCGTGTTTGGGGATGAAGCAGGGGAAAATCAGAGAAAATGTGGTTATTTAAGTTACTTAAAATCCTGCTCTATCAGGATACCAGCAGAGGTAAAAAAAAAAAAAAGGGCGGGGGGGAATTGAAGATAATTTCATACACTTAAACTTTTCAGGTTTACAGAGAAATGAGACTTGGTAGAAAAAAGTGGGTTTTGAAAGATTGGATTTGAAATCCCAGCTTGGTCATTTAGCAACAAAGTCATTTTGTGCACATCACTTAACCTCTTCAAGCCTGAAATAGCCTCATTTGTGAAGCTGGGATTATATTTCTAACTCAGGGTTGTTACAGATTTAAATGACACTATACCCTTGACATTTCATTTGCTTAAATATTCGGGAGTACCTACTTGCCAAGAGCTGTGAACACACAGCTTCTCTTACCCAACACTTTTCTGGGTGGTACCTTTGCCCCATCGCCTTAACTCCCGCTGCATCCCTTTGACCTGCAAACCTTCGCTCCAGCTCAGAGCTTTCTCCGGACTCTCAGGCTCACTCGGCAAACTTCTCAGGGGAGAGTTCCACATGAATATTCTGCAGATATCTTAAATCCAAGTCAACGAGTTTCATCTTAAATCTAGCTCTCTTCTTAACTCTTTTTAGAGGATATCTTATCTACCCAGTCTCCAAAGGCAAAAATCTCAGTGCAATCATTACTGATTTGTCTCCTGAAGTCCATATCCCATCTACCACCAAATACTGTTCATTTTCACTTTATTTTAAATCCATTCCCTGCACTGAATCACTACCACCTGTTTCAGGATCTGATACTTTCTTGCTACTTATTGAAACAGATTTAGGAAAAAAAAAATCCCATTTCCAGTCTTTCTCCCTTCCAAATCCAGTCTCTATAATGAAAATCTGAAATGCAATGAAAATTAGATTACATATACCTTTGTAATAAATTACTCAATAGCTTGCAAATGACCTCAAGATAAAATGAAAGTGCTATTCTGATGATCCAGTCCCCGCCAACTACTCCAGCAACAACCTTGTTCATATTCTACACTCTAGTTATGCTCTAGAATTCCAATTTCCTAGAATTCCACCAAACTCTTACTTCCATGCCTTTGCATATGTTCAATTTTTCTGAAATGCTCTTAATACCCCATCTTTTCACCCCCACAGGTGTTAAGTCAGCTGTAAACTTGATCCCACTCCTCAAAGTCTAGCTGGGTGAGCTGCTTGTCCTACCTTAAAGTTTTCATGGTGCCAGTGTTTCCATAATAGCACTAAACTCTCACATTATTTTACCTTTCTGATGTATCTGTCCAAATGCTGTCCTGACTGAGAGCTCCTTTGGGATAGAGGCTTCACCTTTTCTCTGATTCTGTATGCTTGTCACCCAGTAGAGAATTAATAAGAAACATAATAGCTAACATTTCTAAAACTTATTAAGTACCAGTTCTGTGTTTAACTTAGTATATTTAATTCTAACACTTATTGAAGAACCTGGTAGTAGTATTATTGCTATTACTCCCATACAGATGAGAAAACTGGCTTATGGGGATGAACATGCTGCACACAGCTAGGTTACACAGCTCAGAAGCCAAGTTGCACTTTACTAAACATATCCTTTCATAATTTGTAATTTCTTTTCCTATTTTATGCCTGTAAACTTAGGCCGTCTAGTAATCAATGCTACTCGGAACATCTTCACTTAGGCCCACTACTCTCGTGAGCACAAAAGTGCTAAAATACCTAAAAATACTCCAAAATGGTGGTTTTGACTCACAAATATAAAAGCAAGATAACTAGGGGGAAAATGGAATCCCAGAAGAGAGTTTGTAAAGACTTATGTTGCCAAAATAAAAATTTCACACTATGACTTCAGGAAGTGGTAATTTGCTTTTTGTTGAGGTTATCAATAGTGAGACGAAATGTAAATATAGCAGCAAAGTTGAAAGGAAGCTGGCAGGGAAAGGCCAGCCAGTAAGCTGCAAAGAGACTTCACACAATACCATTCAAATTCTGGACCAGTCCTCCAGGTCCAAAAGCATTATTAGTATAATCAGAGTCAGGCGGTATCAAAGACAAAGTGATACTAACCCAAATCCCCCAAAACAATGTCTAAATCAGAAGGTCCACTGCTGTGTAGCACAGGTATTCACTTCTTGGAAGCAGAATATCATAATAGATGTTAGCTCTTCTCAAACTATTCTCGGGTCAAGGAACAGTTTTTGATTTTCTTTTTGAATTTCTAATCTCTCATGGACCAATACTCAATAAAAATGCTGCACGAATATGATGGCATTGTCTTATATTTATTCTCTGGAGACACACTCCAAATAGCATTGCTCCATCTCGAATCTCCTCCCCATCGCCAATTTCAGAATAAATGGAGGTCAAATTTGTTTCCTCCAATTTGGTACTAATTTTCAGAAGGAACTTTTTCCTCTTGTTTTTCCTACAGTTTACTGACTCGTTTTCTAAGTGACAGATAAAATAATACATAAAACACACACATATTTTAAAAGATAACTAAATGATATAATCAGAATGACTATCTCTTTAAAACTAAAACTTTAGAGCTTAGATTATTACCCGCATGTGGTAGATTACTGTTCCGGCATATTCGCCACCATTTCTGGACAGCGTGCACTTCCCCGTCCTAAGACTTCAGGATCGGCCATGAGAATTGCTTTGACCAAAGAAATACATGTGGATGTGATGTGACAAAAGGCTTCCAAAGTACTTGTGGGAACTGGACTTGCCCTCCTGCCTTCTGTCACAGTCAAGGCAAGAACCTGTAGTGGCGAGCGTGTTCTTGGGGGCAGGAGCAACAGTGGGAACAGAGCTACCTGGATTCTGATGACCTGAGTGGCTCCTGCAAACTTAAACTTGAGATATCAGTTGTGAAATCACAATTTTGTGAGAAATACATGTGCTGCACAGCAATGCTTGACTAATAAACCATCTAGTCTGTCTGACAAATGCAAGAGCTTCACTAGCAATTTCATGTAATCGAAAAAATATCTGTAGCCAAGACATTAAGCAACTCAAAGGTGCCCATGTGTTCTGCTCAGGCAGCAGATTTTTAACAATGCTATCAGGTCACTGGCAACAGCACGAAGTCAACTTCTTCATATTTCTTTTTGCTTGTATGATGACTGCATTTTAGAGACCCATCTCCCACTTGTTTAATTCTTTCTTCTACCCTCTATCACTAAAACATTTCTTTCTAGTCCTGTGTGTCAAAATTTGAGATACATAACATACATGATCAAAACTGAGATATAAAAGTAAAACAAACTAATCTGACATTTACTAATACAAATGACTGTTACTGCTGATGTTAAGGTCTTTCTGTTTTCATCATCAACATTTTTGTTGTGTTCTCTTCATGCTTCCCTGAGAACTAAAAGAAGCTTCAATGTTGACAGATTTACCAAATACACTGTCCGGTCTTTGCTGCCATCCTCACGTTCTGCGTTATTCCTAGGGTGTAGGCTTTCCACTTGCCTGTCCCCCAGGAAATGTCCTAGCAGCTCCCCAAACTGCAATGTCATACAAGGTTGCGGGGGGAAGAGGAAGAAGGAAACAGGCAAGGGGTGGGGTAAGGACAGGAACTATGGGGGGCGATTCCAGCTTGCCATGCAACAGCAAACTATATGCTGTGCTTAAAGATTGGCACCAGAGCGGCACAGAGATTCTTCAGAGCTCCCAGAGTCAGAAGGAAGATGTCAAGTGCAAATTGGCTTAGGAGAAAAGTTGCTTCAATTCTGCTCTATTAACCTGCACGTGACTAATTCCAAATCATAAGGAAAAGAATTATGAAACAAGAGGGAAGTGAGGGAAGTTACAGAAAGAGCATATTAGCTTTAAATTCAGGCAATTATGTCACTAACTCTTGACTGTCATTTATCATCTGGTGCCTAATCATAGCAAGGCCTCTGTGAGTCTTGTGTCCTCATACAGAGGGTGAAATAATCCCATCAGAGCTCCAAGGATTATATGAAATAACAGTGCAAAGTGTTTGCTTCCGGAACACATATACTAAAACTGCAAAGATACAGAGAGGGTAGCATACCCCCTGCACAAGGATGACACACAAATCTGTGATGGGCTCCACATTTTTCATAATATATCACCTCAATAAAAAAAATATGCAATTTCTTTCAGGTAGAATTGGACTTTAAGTAGTGAATTGATGTACACACACACTCTGATTTTTAATGATGCCATGTAAAGTCCGTATTTTAATGCAGTGTTACTTTAAAATTAAAAACTAAAAAAAGAAAAACACGGGGGAGCCAATGTGTCCATCAACACTACCTTCCTTTTTATTTTTATTTTTTAGAAGATTTATTTATTTATGCACACAAGAACTGGGGTACAGGCCAGAGGTGTGTGTGGGGGGCGAGAGGATTCACCAGAGACAGAGTGGGGAGCAGAACAGGCAGACTGACTGAAGTACACTGCTGAGGGGAGCAGTGGGCGAGTCAGGAGAGGTCTGCTGCGCCATGTGGGTACCTCCCTGGCAGGGGATCAAACTCATGCTACAGTGGCTGTGGAAAGTCTCAAAGGTTGCATCTTACCCCTTGCACCATGAGGGAGGCCCCTTTATTGTTTTTTTTTTTTTTTTTAAGATCTTATTTATTTTTGCATAGAAGAACTCAGGTGTAGACCAGAGGTGCAGGGGGTGACAGGAGTCAATGAAGACAGAGTGAGAAGCAGAGCAGGCAGATTTACTGCAATACACTGCTGAGGGCCAGACAGGAGAGGTCTACTGCGCCATGTGGGTCAGCTCCCTGGCCAGGCATTGAACTCAGACTGCCTTGGTTGCCTGTAGGGATAGCGCTGAGACTTAACCTCTAGGCCACCAGGGATGCCCTAACACTATCTTTTTTCTAGGCTAGAAGTCTTTCATCAGCTGTGCCAATTCAGCCTTGTTTAATACAGGCAAATTAGTCAATGGGGCATGTTATGTCTTCCTTTAAAGTGCTGATTAGGGCCTCCCTGGTGGTGCAGGGGTTAAGTCTCAGAGATATCAAGCTATACCCAGCCCCTGCAGCATGAGTTCAATCCCTGGCCAGGGAGCTGACCCCCACGGCCAAGCAGACTGCTCCTGTCTTGCCCACTGCTCCCTTCGGCAGTGTATTTCAGTCAATCTTCCTTTTCTGCTCCCCACTGTCTCTGGTGAATCCTCTTATGACCATACTTCTGGCCTAGACCCCAGTTCTTGTATGCATAAATAAATAAAATAAATCTTAAAAAAATTAAAATGCTGATTAGCCTCTTTATTTTCTATTTCCACTACCACCACCTCCAAATCCTCAGCACCTCACACATCAATTACTAAAGTTTCCTATTATCTGTCTGCCCCCAGCATTACAATTTATACTGAGCACACTGTTGAAAGGTTTATCTTTTCTAAAACACCACTACCAGCAGATCACCTCAGCATATCTATTTTCAAAAGGTAACCAGAATTTCAGACTCAACACAGAAAGTACAATCCAGACAGTTGGAATAGAAGCCAAGTCAGTCAGTGACTCAGTGTTTTTCACTGCCAGCCCTAGGCCCCTGCAACTTCTGAGAGCCTGTTGGATAAACACTTCTTTTGGCTATCCCTTAGAAGGACCACTCTGAAGAAGATTCTAGAGTTTCTCAGAGGGACCCTGGCAGAATGAAACTGAGCCCTTAAATTACCACTCACAAAATTAACTTAGTACATATATTTTTTTAAGATTTACTTTTATTTATACAAGAACTGGGGTGCAGGCCAGAGGTGTGGGAGGGTGAGAGAATTCACCAGAGACAGAGCGGGGAGCAGAACAGTCAGACTGACCAAAATACACTGCTGAGGGGAACAGCGGGGAGAGACAGGAGAGGTCTGCCACACCATGTGGGTATCTCCCTGGCCGGCTGGGAATTGAACCCACGCTGCAGAGGCTGCAAACAGCCCTATAGCGCTGCGCTCAACCCGCTGCATCACCAGGGAGGCCCCTTTAGTACAGTATTTTCATTACACTGACCAAGCTATACCAAAGGTCTCTGAACTTTATTCATCTCAGAACTTTAAGTTTATACCTTCTGACCAACATCTACTGCACTGTATACCTGAAAGTTGCTGCAAGAGGAGAGTTTTAAAGTTTTCTCCGTAACAGTAAAATATGTGAGACAAAGTAGTATTAACTGTACTAACCTCTTTGTGGTAAACAATTTGTGACATATTATTTGTATCAGATCATAATATTGTACATCTGGAACATATAAATGATATGTGTCAATTATATCTCAATAAAGCTGAGAAACTCTAGATTAAAATCTATTTTCATTGCACAAAAAAAAGTAGGCTGAATTCTGGAATTATTTTGCATGCCTTTTTGGCTAGTGTTCAGAATTTGATTAGGCAGGCATAAAAGAGAGTTCGAGTTTTAAAATGTACCATTTTTCTGCATGGAAGCATATCCTTCAATTATCTGGCCTTCTTAATAGTCTTGTAAGATTTTCTTGCAGAAGCTAAAAGTCAGAAGGCATTGCTAATATGTGGCTCTATTACAAGAATCTTTTTGTATTCTCTTCTAATATATTTAAAAAATTATGTTCTGAGACAATCTCTGGGATTGTTACTTGGATGGATATATAAGAAACTAATAAACTAGTTGCTTCTGTAGTGGGGAAATGAGTTGTTGGGGGGTAAAAAGTCCTTGGGGACTCTGCTGAGTATCTTTTGTACCTTCTGAATTAGTCTTTATGAATATAGTGCCTATTCAAAAAATCAAATACAACAACAAAAACAAAATCTACCAGGTTATGGAAGTTGCCAAGAGTTCCTTTCCTCAGCGCTCATTATAAAATCAATCACTGACCACAACATCCAAGCAACTGTTGGAAAGGAAACGAGGCGGTGTTCTACTGAGAACACTACTCCCTTCTCAGAGACAGAGGTAATCACCAAGATGCTGACTGTTTGTAGGTGAAAATGGACAATGAGTGCTTGTATCCTTTCTTCTTAAGCTTTTGCCAAGCTGTGTGTGAGGGAGAAGCAAAGAAAATGGAAAAGAAGCTGAAAACTCCAGGGAGTAACTTTAGGAACTTGGTAAATAAAAGATATGGAGAAAGCATGAGGACAGCTGATCAAAGTTTGAAAAGTTCTCTTTAAAGCCATGGAAAGAAAATATAAATGACTAAGATTTCTTCAGTGTTTATAAATTACTAGTTTATAAATTAATAGTCTCTAACATGGCTTTTACAATATTGATGCTTACATATACATTTTCGATATTTATGCTTTGGGGGGGCGTTGAGAACAGCATAATAAGGAAAAGTATTCATGGGGATGTTTGTTCTCCAGACACCAGCACCATATAGCAGAGAAACCTCTGCTATACTACAAAATGGGGTAATCTAACTCTGAGATCAGTAGGGTACCCAAATGCTTTGAAATTGAACATGTTCTTAGGTGCAGGGAAGCTGCTGAAAGAGATGCAAGACACACCATTAGAGTCAGACTGACCAGGTCCCAATCTCAATTCCCTTTAGCTTGTGATGTGTAAAATTCTGCCTGTTTCTTCATCTGAAAAATGTCCCCTAATCCTCAAAATCTACCTTACTGGGTTACCGAGAATATACATAGCACCTAGTAATCAGACCAGGGTATACATTACATAAACGGCAGTTCCTACCATAATCAAGTTTCCTTCAGAAGCAGTGCTTGGAATACTGGTGTATTCCAATTCAAAAGCAAGCATGGGGGGGTGTGAAAGGTGGGAGGGTAGAAAGGGAAGACAGTCTCACGAGAGAAAAAGGTCATAGGGAACAAGAACAGTTTCATGCTAAATGTACTGTGTACTTTCTTCTCAAACTCAGGGGTTCACACCTCTTTGTTTAAAAACAATTATCTCTTACATCTACACCTTGTTTACTATTCATGAATGATTTACTCACTAGTGACTAAAAAGTTAAGCATCTTTAGTTTTTTTTTTTTTTAAAGATATATTTATTTATTCATACAAGCACTGGGTACAGTCAGAAGCGCGGGAGGGTGAGAGAATTCACCAGAGCCAGAGCAGGGAGCAGAACAGGCAGAAGGACCGAAATACACTGCTGAGGGGAGCAGCGGGCGGCAGGAGAGGTCTGCTTGCCATGCGGGACCCTCGCAGGTGGCCAGGGATCGAACCGGTGCTGTAGAGGCTGCGGCAGCTTCGCAGCCCAGGGCTCAACCGCTGCGCCACCAGGGGAGGCCCTCTTGAGTTTATTCTAATAATAAAAGAAAAATGCAAAGCTTTGGGGGTAGTTATGTAAACTGATTTTCAGAAAATTTATGGTATCTACTGATTGGTTATTTCTTCCATATGATAATGTGCTCCCTTTAAAATCATGCAACTCATAGATGATGGCTTCTCACAGAGATCACAGATGAAGAAACAGGCAGGCAGAATTCCTATTTCCCCAGAAATAGCAAGTAGTTCTGGAGACAGATCAGGATTCAAATCTTGGCCTTAGTGTCAACTCCAGATAATAGTATTTTTAAGCGTCCATTTAGTTGCAAATGGGAATAATACCTACCACAAAGGACTTAACACAGTGCCCTGTAAAGAACTGATATGCAAAACACTGTACTGAATAAATGAATATAGTAAGAAACTTTGAAAAGTTTATAGATTGTATCCACTTAAAGAATGTAAGTATTTTGGCCTCCCCGGTGGCGCAGTGGGTTGAACGCAGCGCTATGGGGCTGTTCACAGCCTCTGCAGTGTGGGTTCGATTCCTGGTCGGCCAGGGAGATTCCCACATGGCATGGCAGACCTCTCCTGTTGTGCCCAATGCTACCCTCAGCAGTGTATTGCAGTCATCTGCCTATTCCGCTCCCTACTCTGTCTCTGGTGAGCCCTCTCACCCTTCCACGCCTCTGGCCAGTACCCCAGCTCTTGTATAAAAATAAATAAATCTTAAAAAAAAAAAGTGTACGTATTTAAAAAACAAACACCCAGTATTTCTCTAATATTTTGAAGGTCTTCACATGCCACAGCCAAAGAAATCTTTCAGGAAATGCAAACATTGTTCGGTCACATGACCCGCTGGGCTCAGGATAAAGCCAGAAGTCTCATCAGGGTATACCAAGTTCTTTAT